TTTGCACAGCCACATAGTCACTTTAAGATGTTTTTCTTGTTCGTGTTTTTGTTTTTTTGTTTGTTGTGGTTGCAACCGATTCCAGAGCCGAATGGCTCACAAGGCTATACCAAAATAAATAAGCTGAAACTGAAAAAAATAAAACCCCCTCATGTACCGTTTCGACCTTTATAGGTGCTCGCTAACACCACTTTGCCCCAACATTCTGTTCAAGGCTATACGGGGGATCTTCACCTTGTACGTAACACGGTCCTGATGCAATGTACAGCTGCGACAGGACTTGTTGCATTTCCTGAGTGTTTGCTGTTAATTTGACAGAACGTGAGATTTTATAATGAATGAAATAACTTTGCAGGACAAGTGTCCCTTCACATGCATGGGAAATTCTAATTCGTGCGTTAGAAACATTTATAGGGGTGGTGGGGGTGGGTTCCAAATTAAATCCCATGCAGTGCACACATCTGTTGTGAATTGGTGCCGTTGAGAGGCTGTTAGACGGAAAGTGGAGAGGCTACGTGGGATGATGTGTGAGAGCAGTTGTGTTCATGCAGAATTTGGTGGGATGGTCTGGTGCTGCTGCTGCTGCTGCTACAAAAATGTGCTTTATTGTTGTAAATTTCTCCCACATTAAGCACGGCCCGTTTAACTTATTTCGGTGTCAATGTATTTACGTTTCCTCCGTTGGCCGACGCTTGCAAAAGTTAATAGATTAACAAATTTTCCAGCAGAGCAATACGATAAGTCTCGCGTGTGCTCTGCTGTACTCAATCCATTTCAGTAATCAAGCCATTTAATTTAACGCAAGCCATTTTAGGTATTTACGTTCAGTTTTATAAACGCACTCCACACCTGCTCTCTCTCTCTCTCCCCACCTTCATATTTAATACATCTCGGGCTTCCTTCAATAATTCCAATAATGGTGAACAACCTGAGGAATCTGGTGGAGGGACAGAACTGGAAACGCAAAGTAATTTGATGAAATGGGAAGAACATTGATTTTAATATAGACAGTTGGTATTACTGCGATGTTATATTTGGTCCCTTAAGCTATGCGATGGATACATTAAATATTCTTTTTTGGTGATGCTGCATTGCCAGAGGTGCACAATAGCGTAACAAACAAAAAAACTCAACGCCATTCGTCCACAACAGTTTGGCCTTAACAGGAAACATCTATAATAGGTGACGTTTTACGCAATGGTGCTTCTTCATAGCACAGGACGTTGGCCATGAATAAGGGTCATTAGGCTATGTGTTTTTCGTTTTAAGGCAACTGTCTTGATAAATGTGTTGTCTTGTTGATAATTTTAAGAGTCGGTTTCGGTGTGGTGATAGGACTCAGTACTTTCACTGCTGACTGCGCTCCATTGTTTTCGATTTTTTTTCTCACGGTTGAAAACATTCCTCATTATTTGTAGCTTGGGAAATCAGCCTTTTCTGATTTGCAGTGTTGTGATTTGAATTCAGACAAAGTGCTTTTTCTTGCGAAGTAATTACATTTTAAACGCGTGTAAACTGTATCGCTGTAAAAATGAACGTACAATTACTGTACTTGGAAAATTACAGAATGACTCAAGAGCAGTTTTCTCTTTCGCATGTGAAGCCTTTCCGAAAAACATACAGGCTGAAGTTTATTTTAATAGTTATCATAATATCTGGCCTGGTGTGGTGAATTGTGAAATACAATGCTCGTCATGGGTTTACATATGATCCTCGTTGACTTTAGAAGAATATTATTGTACGTGTAATTCCCCTTTTCCCATTCTAAAGTTGGACTATAATTACAATTTTGATTTAAAGCTTTCGTGACTGCAGTTATTCATATTCTTAGCTCTTTCGGTAAAGTCACGTTGAAAGGAAACAATAAAATAATAAAATATATATAACAATATATTTTATAAAATATATATAACAATATATATTTTATTATTTTATTGTTTCCCTTTAACGTGACTTTACCGAAAGAGCTAAGAATATAATTACAATGTTTAATTTCTGGGTGTGATGATGCATGCCTCGATCCAGCGACTTGAACGTGGGGTTGATGGATCACATAGAGACAGGGTCATTATGGCGCTCTGAGATCAGTTATTTAAGTTTACCTTATAAATGTAAATTATCATTTTTGTGCGGGACATCCTCCTGCAGGGCACTTAGCTGTCTTTAAGAGGCAGTGTAGTAAGTAGGATATGGTTGATCCAGAATCAGAATATTTATACTGGAGGAATCCAATGAGTTATCAAGCTCTTTTTCACAGATGTCCGGTAGGGGTGGGTCACAACGTTACAACAAAATACAAAACACGATAGGAGTGCAACGTATAGGAAATGTAAGCAAATCACTAAAATATACAAAAACAAAACTATTTTTTATTTGATCAGGTAAATCCTCACTGCGTTAATCGCTTATTTTTCAGAAGCAACCTGGCCACAAATAATAAGTAGTGTATCATGTGGAAATGTATAGCAGATAAACAATCTAAATATTCGAAAGGCACGTTTCTGAATGTGGAATATTTTTTTTCCACTTCAACTTACACTTGTGGGTCACTTCGAAGCAATGTGGTTGTCTCGCACACTTCCTCAAAAAGGAAATTGACAAATATCCGAGGCAAGACCCTCATGGAAACGTCTGAGACCTCTGTCAGTCTCTTCTGGGCAAACACCCTCAACACGATTCATACTGCATTGGCTCATGCTGTGCGGCATCAAATGTATCAGACGTCCCAGGTACAACTTAAAATTGAAGTCTACGGAATCTGAGTTCATTTGTTGAAAAGTAATCCTCTTATCCGCAACCCTAATAACCATTACAGCTTTAGGGTGCGGGGAAAACTCCTAATATCCACCTCTCACTTCTTCTCACAATAGGTGATTATCCAGGGATATTACCGGCACGATGCACGACATAATTTACTCCTGTTTATCCGCACACTTTTCACATGTGAAAGGAGTCGCATTGACAATTCACCAGATTCACAATTATTTCACCAGATTCACAAGTGGAGTAGATTCGTGGATATTATTGTGGAAAAATATGATCGGCAAAGTCTCGCACATATTACTGTGGATGAATGCTACTATTATTGTTGCTACACTGATTCTAGAAACAATTCATGTATTTACCGAGCTATTTCAATGTAAAGCTACAGTACCATACATTACTTGTAATTTCAAATCATTTAAGTGTTCGTAAGGATAACTTTTCTTCCAGTTATTTGGTGATGCTGCATTGGCAGTGGTGAAGAAGCACAATTAACAAAACTCAGTGTATGAATCAATTGCGCTGTGGCCCTGAAAGAAAAAAAATACATTGTAGGTGACATTTTAGGTATTGGCCCTATTTCATAGTACATACTGGCCGAAATGTTCCCATATATTTTCCTTTTAAAGCCAGTGTGATTAACGAATGTGTATATTTTATTAATTATATATAGTACATAACGGCGCAGTTGATTAACGCCTACGCTATTTCTACACCTTGCAAGAACAAAAACACTTTTAAAATTGTCCCACAAAATTCCTCCTCCCATTTTACAAACACCAATGGCAAAATACAACGCAGTCCCAATACAATGCGATTGTATCCAGGATTGTACAGAATTGTTAGCAAATCCTGCCACACAGTGGCGATATTTTGCAATTGCATGTCACCCGACGTGGTTAAAACAATGTAGTTCGCCACAACTCATTCTACGGCCTCGCTTTCCATTTGTGGTTGGAAACAAGAGCACCTGGAGAAAGAACCACACATACACCGGAGATGATGCTCACACTTCCGCTGTGTTCGCCTGCTGAATGCACTGACTGCCAGAATTACAGAATACCCATGTACATCAAGCTTAAATCCTAACTCACTTGCATTCGTGTATGTTGAACTTCTTTCACACCGTACATAGGCAACCGTGCTAATCGTAGGTGCGGGGGAAGGACAACAATCTAAACACACAAAAAAAAACTGTTCTAAGGAATTGAGTTTTCAATTTAGATTTAAAAGTGCGTAGCTCCAGTGGCTTCCTAATATCGGAAGGAAGAGCGTTCCAGACGGCCGCAGAAGCGCATCTGAAGGCGCGCCACGCAGTGACCGTCTGTTTGATGGCTAGCGAGCTGGCTAAAAGTCGTTGCTATGAGGATGACCGGCGATTGACGTGATGGTTTTATGCTCCGAAGCACACTGGCCTTAAACCTAGCCAGGCTTTTTTTCTGTGTCGAGACATGTTCTTAGTTTGAATAAGATTTAATCTTCCAAGGGTGTGATTTAATAAAAAATCCAAACAGTTTAATGGTCTGCAAGCATTGACTTCTCTTTTTTTTAAACCAGGTACGTAACTCCTCTTGTTCGTGGGAGCTGTAGGGTCCGCAAGAAGCACTCCTATTATCTATGGCCGCCATATTCACATTATCCACATCTGCTTTTTGTTTCCCCAAAATGTTGTGGAGTATAGTCACGGTTTAATTTCATGGATATAATCCGCAATATTGTACCTTCAGATTACTGTGGCTATGCATTTCCCTGTCAAGTGTGTTTAATCACAGTTCTATCCAAAATTGGGGTCACATCTAGTGACATACATTTCCCTGATATTAATTTAATGAGGGAGAAATGTGAATCAAATTCTCAGATATAGTGATAGTGGTTTCCATATTTAGCGGAGATACCTAATTGCAAATTTGAAGAAAACTGTGAATTATGTTCCGCCGTTTTAGTAATGCCCGTAGGCTGACATCCATTTGTACCCATTTCATGTGTGGACGTAAGCATACATGTACTGCCTATCTCTACACGTTCATAGTACACACTGGTTTGTCGACTTCCATCCGCACAACATACAGTGGTCGCAGATAACAGGATGGCAGCCAAAGGAGAGGACACGCCTGCAAAGAATACTTCTAGGAGATGGAGCGATGAATTCGGCTCGTGTGCAGGAGCCGAATGGTTTGGTGCATTGCAAGATCGTGTGATGTGGTGATGACTTGGCAAGATCTTCATCCAGCAGTGATTAGAAAATGGCCGATGATGATGGTGATACGTTCAGAGCCACACAGTCTTTATAGGCATGCATTCTTTATTTATACAGAGTTATATTCAAATACGTACATGCTCATTGCTGTGCTCTCAAATAATTACAATGCGATTCTCATGACCTGATTGGTCACACAAATCAATGAATTACATCCTCAAAAAAGTTAACTCCACGGCTTATTTAAGTTACTTTGAAGGTTATTTATACCGCTTGCATTCTCAAGCCCGACCTTTCATTCTCCATTCTGTGGTCAACTCTTCGAATCACTTTTCTGTAAAGAAAAAAAAATGTCATTACATATTTTTAGAACTTGGGGTAAAAAAAAATAAACAAAACTTAACGTTTACGTATTTTTGAGTGAACAAACATCTCCACTGTGTCAACTGGCCAGACAATATCACACACTTCAGTGCCACCGTTATACTGTTTACATCACTAGAAACGTGGGGACTTGTGCCAGTGACACTCAATTCACATTGCGAAGGAACTCGTTCACATTGTGGTCGGAGGTCAACACGTCATTATCTCTCCATGGTTCATTACAAAACAAAAGTACCACTTTGTGAGAAGTTAACAAAGGTCACGGCTGTGGAGGGAACAGCGCATTTCCTCACAATTCAGGATTTCTACAACAGGTTCAGAGATGATTACAGCCACATGCTCATTTTAGAGGAACGCCGTTGACTTCGTTATAAATGAGTCCCAGGCAAGAAACTAAAGATCGATGGATTTACATCATTTTGGTTGAACTATTGAGAGGTACTTCTTACTGCTTCCCAGGAAGAGAGGCAGGACCAGGCCCACGCTAGGCTGCCACTAGTGTGCGCCGCACTCAACGTCCGCTGGAAGGAGCACCTCAAGCGTGAAGAAATCTATGAGGGCAGCTTGCAGACTGAACGTCTCTATAACAAGAGGCTTATGGAGACCGGAGACTACCGGTGATGTCGTGGTAAGCGAGCAAGATGCGACTACAAACTAAACTATTTTTTTTTATTTTACCAGTTAAGGCCCACTGAGCTGTATAGCTCTTTTTCGGAAGTGACCTGGACACAAATGATAGCTCAACAAAGTGGCTTAACATGTGGGAATTTAAACGCGTGTTTATAAATGTGGAGCGAAAAACCGAGGGACCCAGAGTAAAATCCACGCGACCACGGGGAAAACACGCAAACTCCAAATATACAGCAGCAGGTGTCAGGGTTGGGATCTAACCCACGACCTCCTGTATACCAAGCGAGGTGGTTAACATCTCGCCAGCGTGGTGCCCCAACAGGAGGAGACCACAACACAGCAGAGGAAACAAGACAATAACAGCTCATCTTTACACACATGCTGCAGCATGCCAATTGAGTGACTGATTGGAGTCCAGTATTATTCGCGTACAATTTAACGTGGAATTTGTTGTAGCCGATAATGTTTCAAAGTGTATTTGTTAGGTTAGGCCATGTAATGATCTGATCATAGTTGCGTTAAGACTCTCCACTACCTGACAGGGCCTCACATATTAGATGGTAATCGGTTGATACTATTCTTATTTAATAACTACATTTGATTGATAATTACTGTACAACTTACTGGCGAGCCGAGACAATAACGGGCGCGTTGGACGGTCGTGACACGTGACAATGTAATTTGTTTGGCTGTGTCAGGTGTTGGAGGGCCTTAACGCAAATTTGGTCAGATCATTACATGGCCTAACACAAATCATATCAACTATCAATCGTTGCCATGCAATATTTACCTATCAAGTCCACATTCAACAGCTCCTTGAACATTTCATTGAGGATGGCCCCATACTTGCGATACTCGTCAAAGCTCATGGCGATGCCCACCTCCAGAGGGGCCATGATCTGCAACAGCACGCACAGGAAATGTTTACGTGAAGGTGAACCCAACACCATCTGCAACATTCTGTGTGTACATTGAACTTCTTTCGCCCCGTACGTAGCCAAACGTGCTAACAGGAGGTGCGGGGGAAGGACAACAATCTAAACACAAAAAAAGCAGTTCTTAAGAAATAATTCTCATGACGAACTGCCTGTTGTCTATACCAGACGAGACGACTGCGTCAACAAAATTACAGGATTGAGCTTAACACACAAGTTGGACATAACCATAACATTAACAAAGAACTATAGGAAATAAAACTGTTTAATTCTGAAAATGCATAATCCGAATTCAACTCCGTAATATAACCTCAGTTACAGTATATTAATCATATTGAGGAACATGGCATGTAATTATTTTAACTAGTTTTCTAATATCACTATGCTAGTACTACATTTCAATCATTCACTGCCATTATTACGTGCAATCGTAATTCCATGTAGAATTACAACAGCAGTACGATGTATAGCTTAACCTTCATGTCTCATGGTATTAGAAGCATTTCTCGTGATGCCAATCTCCAGAATGCAATCAATAATGTTCAATTCTAAGTTAGAGCTTCAACACAACATTCTACTGGATTTGTATTACATTTTACGAGGGAAAAAATATATTACTTTAAATAAAATGAAAATTGAGCACCCTTTAAAATACAGTGTTCCCTAAAGATATCACCTATCACTACATAATTACAATTAGAGCCAGCCAGAAAAGAAAAAAAACTCCACGCACAAATTTGGTGATGTGTACATTCATCATGCGGGCTTAATTCTTTTAAACTGAACAGTGTCAGCCCATGGCGTTGGTGACAGACATCATATCGATTTGTGAGTGCCAGATGTTTGTCGGCATCTCGGGAGAGATCGTTTCAAATGCTCATGTTATGTGCTGTTGAAGATCGCTCAAGATTAAAAAAAATATATACTTCAAATATTTTGCAAACACTTTATCTGGTGAATCAAATGCAACACGAGAGTGCTGGAGTGCCAATAACGAATACCACCTGCCATAATTACCGCCGAATGTGTGGAGTTTTATTTTTTTCTTTGCCACGATTAAAAAAGGTTTGCGGACAAGTGATGGGGGCACAGATTGCACTGTGGACAAGTGGGTAGGTACACTGTTATGATCCGAAAATAAGAATAGGGTTTACCCTCTCTGGAAATAAAAGGTGTTAAGATGTTCAAACACCAAAATAGAAACATTTTGCAAGGCATCAAGTCTGCATGAACCACACGCAGTACTTGTGGCAAAACATGCAAACGCACAAGCTCTGATAATATATATACATTGTCTTTGAAACTGATTGGCCTACACCAGGGACAGCCTTCTTTATCGCCTTATCTCACCACCAGTGTTAGACCAGAGAATGCCAAAAGGCGAACAGTACAAAGGAAACGCAAGTATCCGAGAACACTTATAGCTCAGGTCGAGCAGTTATATCTATAGGACCTTTTTTGGCAGTATCAAAAATGATGAAGATAAGAATGGGTATTCATATCTGTCAACCCCTTAGCAGTGCCTACCTTATTACAGACCTTATTGGTCACCCCGTGCCCCTTATAAATCTTAACGTTCATCCTACAAAGTCCAATCACAAAGTAGAAACACAAACAAATGCACGCAAAAAAAATTGCCCGTATTGAAACGGCTATACGCCGTACGGACCTGTAAACTCAATTACCCTGTACAAGAATACGGGTAAACCGTATGGGTTGACAGGTATGGGATTTACACTATATTGCCAGTGTTCTTCATTACGAGGCCTGCGGGCCACTGGCGGCCTCTGGTGGCCTTTAGTACGCCTCCCCGACAATACACAAAATGTGTAAAACACCACCCCATCATTCTCATCATGGTGTTGCTGCTGTCACAATGGTGGCCCTCACACTGATGATGTCCTATCGGCGAAAGTGTAACCCCCCCCCCCCCTCTGAAAATCAGTGACGAACTCTGCTACTACAGTATGTAGTGAAATAGAAAAGGGTGGCGGGAGAGAGAGAGAGACAAGAGAGGGGACCCGGTTGTTTTAGAGCAGGACGATTTTACTTTGATTTGCTCTGTGTCGTCGTCAGTGTAGCGCTCCGCTCCCTCCGCCCGGCGCTGAACGACTTCTGTGGGCGCCTTCTTGTCTTCCTGGATTTCATTCAAAGGGCCAAATTCATGCACAAGAAAACAAATATTTCCACCCCCCCCCAGTATAGCCTCTGAACAGACTGTTGGGGCAAGCGCTGTTGAAGGCCGGCACGGCACAAGAGGGGGTGGGTGGCCAACACATACCTGTCAGCCCCTCATCAGTGCCTTACCTTATTACAGACCAATTCAGACCTTATTGGTCACCCCGTGGCCTTATAAATCTCAACGTCCATCCTACAAAGTCCCATCATAAGGGAAACACAAAAACAAATATAACTTGTTTTTTGTTTGCCCGTATTGAAACGGTTGTACGCCGTATGGACCTGAAAACTCAATTTGCCTGTACAAGAATACGGGTAAACCGTATGGGTTGACAGGTGTGCCGCCTTTAGTGTATCATAAACCCCTCCACCACCCTTCACAGCTAATTAATAAGAAAGTGTCAGGTGAATCAAACGTGCCAAATGTGTTACAGCTTCAGCAGCGCCGCGCGACCTCACAACATTCAACGACGTTTCGCTCGAGGTTGCAATCCAGAAACGTCGATTTGTTTACAGGGGCTGCGGTCCCTAGGGAAATAGCCTCCTGATCCCGGGTCCTTAAGTTGATGTCGTGACGTCATCGGCACAGTCAAGCACGTGGATATACCTACTATAATAACCCAGAACTGTCTGTCCTTAACGCTCGTGACGTCACTCCACATCGACCAGCCCCCCCTAATTAATATTCATGAGCAGGTGACGTCATCCAAATGGACGTCCTCCCCCATTCAGAATAATTAGCGGCTGACATCACTCCACATGGGGGGGGGGGGCTGAGGCGCCTCCTCCCCCCCCTCCTCAGCGTCAACTTACAACCCTCACTACAAAGACAGAGCCCTCACGTCACGTGATCTCCGTAACGCTGTTGTTGAGACATCGAAGTAAAAAGGACGTCATGATGAACAAGGGATTTTAACCTTTTAATTAAATAAGTCTGTGTCACCGCGCCCTTACAAATTGCACACGAATTAATGCAATGAATATCACGTCGCGGTCTGCTTTTCGCTTGCAAGTTTCATATTTAATGCAATACACCCGTCCTTGGACGGGCAAAAGGCTAGTGATTTAATAATTACAGTTCAGAATCGGAATCTTTATTTACACTGGAGGAATCCGATGAGCTATAAAGCTCTTTTTCACAAATGTCCAGTCGGGGAACGGGTCAGAACGTTGCAATAACAAGACAATATTTTTTTTAAAACACGATGGGAGTGCAAAGTTTAGTAAAGGTAAAGCACAAAACAATAGAACTATTTTTTTTTACCAGATAAAACCCACTGAGCTATCAGCTTCTTTTTTCAGAAGCAACCTGGCTATCACAAATGATAGCTCAACGAAGTGGGCTTATCATGTGGAAATGTATAGCAGCGAACTCGTCTGAATAATCTAAACGCATGTTGATTGTTAGTTGATGTGTAGTGATTGGCAGGTAAGGTTAGTGTGATAAGGTGAATCCATTTAGGTGTATTGTGTTCTAATGAAGTTGGACTTAAACGTTTAGTGCATTAACGGTGTGGGGAATTCGCACTTTCAGGAATGGATAAATGTATATTATTGGTCTTTTAATGTGTTACATTATCATAAATAATTCACTATGTAACATAATTTTTGTCCCTGGGTACTAAGTGTTATTTTATAATTGCTTATGCCTCAAAAGTACAGAAAATGGCTATTATTCCCCACGAACTTTGCTTTTTGTGACCAGGGTTTTATGTGAAGGAATGACACAAATGCACACCACGTTTTCTCATTGAAAATAGGTAAATTTCAAAATATCATTGTCCTGGTCACAAAAGCAAAGTTTGTGGGGAATAACAGCCATTTTCTGTACTTTCAGGGCAAAGGAAATTAGGAAATAACACTTACTACCCAACATTGTTTTTGTTCAGCAGCCACACGAAAGAAGAAGCTGCTGTTACTTCAACATGGCCATGGAGGGCCCAAAGGAGGGCTGAGAAAACACGAGGCCCTAATGGCTCTCCGTGGGTTCGTCCGGCCCTGATCCGAAGGCAACAAAACGCGTTTTACATTCTTAAAGTCGTTGGGCAGGAAGCTGACGCCACCGTGCGCCAGTTGGCACGCACAGAGCAGCACGGCGCTCAACAGCAGCACGCTGGCGACGCCTCGAGTCGGGAACATGGCTGTGGACGAACACGGCCTGCCCAGGGCACACACAGCACGGGCCCGGGTTATTCACGCGCAGCAGCTGCAACGGTGAAGTGTCAGGTCCTCCCCACCTTTACCTGTTTACCTTATGCCACTGCTGGGCATAAGGGCCCTCGGCTAGAGGATATGCAGTTAGCCTCCTCTACAATGATGGACAGATGCTGTACTCCCCCCCCCCCTACAACTCCGATTCGCACGGTTGGCTACGTATGGCGCGAAAGAAGTTCAACATACATACATGTCCTGGCAGAGGTGTGAGTAACCACACATTAGGCCATCATACGTGACTGGCCAAACGACTACTAAGTGTCGTGTGACCATTTCAAGGCACGAGCCCCATTGTTTCGACTACCGTGCAAGGAAATCGAACCAGCCACCTCTGGATTGTCCAGTGTGCGACCAATTATACTGCGACAGCCACTCCTATATTTAATGTGCAGCATGACATTGTACTAAATTTATTTTCAAAATCAAGACTCGTTCATGGGAAGGTTACAAGTCTTATTTTAAATAAAATCCACAAATGGAATTTAACTCATGCTATAAACTATGATGGCGCTTTGGCAGGGTTATACATTTGAAATTCGACGGATAGTCGAGTTTATATGTATAACTTCAAGGAATCAAACAACTTGTTTGGAGTAATACGAAACTGGGTGCCTCAAAACAATGCGGCTTGAAAATCAAATCGTTTGACACTTAGGGTCAGATCAGCATTCAGTTCTAAACTGATTTATATATCGTGACATATACTTGAACATACATTCCCCATCATAAGTTCATCAATTCGCCTCCCATGGAGTTTGACACAAAAGCCGATAGGAAACGGTTGAACCAGTTAGTTACTAGTTTCCCAATAAACACGAAACTTTGGCCCAATGTTGGTCCAATGATTCCAACTACATCCCAACGTTGGTTCAACGTTGCATGTTTACTGGGTTTAACACATGAAACATGACTATCCACAAATGATTAGTTTCAAATGTTTAAAGTTTAGCACATATAGTATCCGTACTCACAGTGGTAATGGCGATGATGCTGTTGAAGCTCAACAAATCTTGCCGTTTCTCTGCGTAGTTCTGTGCATGGGTTATGCCCGGGTATATATAGAGCAGCATCAGTGTTTACCTTTAAACGGGACGGCTCATTGAGCAATATTAGTTCAGACTTGAGACGGCATTTAATGGCACCATCATGATTAGCATCCCTGCATTGTGTAGCTACACAAGTATTTTTACAGACTACATGCAGTTATTCTGTGCCAATGTGAACAATTGCTCAAGGCTATTTGCTTTTGTTACATGATAGCAACATGGCTCACTGGCGTACATTATTAGTGTTCTTATAAAGCATATCAAGTATTCAAAATTGCAACCTTTGAAAGCTTTGATCAATTAATTTTTCATTATACATTCCGTTTCATCCTAAGCCAACGTCTTTCTGTCTATCACAATGGTATTCATAACCTCTCTGGATTTCCTTCCTCTGGTAGAGAAGAAAATGACATTGATTGGTATCATTAGTTTTTTTAAATAAATACCAACATTTTTACATTTCAAAAAACAGTTAAGCTATTCGGTGATGCTACTGCGTGGGTAGCGGTGGACACGCGCAATTAATACAAACCCAACAAAGTCGATAACACTGTGGCCTCAAAATAAACAAAATCAATGTAGAATGAGAATAAAATAATAAATTGATAAAACAAAATAACACAATAATATTCTCACGACGTTTCGGCCACAACACAAGCGGCCTTCATCAGGTCTCACCTGATGAAGGCCGCTTGTGTCTCACCTGATGAAGGCCGCTTGTGTCTCACCTGATGAAGGCCGCTTGTGTTGTGGCCGAAACGTCGTGAGAATATTATTGTGTTATTTTATTTATTCAATGTATTATTTTATTCTCATTCTACGTGACTTTACCGAAAGAACCAAAGAAGATGAATCATTGCAGTCACGAAAGCTTTAAATCGAAAATTGAAATCAATGTATTTTTTATGTGCAGATTACACAGTTTTCTGAGCTCACAGGAAATCATGCAATTAGGAACGTGCCCAAAAACAGTGAAAACGAAATTGAATCGTCAATCTTTTAAGTAGCGTGTCTCATTCATGGCCAAGCCGCCAAGCACCGTGATCCACTGTGGTGGATCTCAACGGGCTCCGTGAGCCGCTAGAAAGCGATGGCCAACAATGACTCGGCTCTTAATCGTGTAATGCACGATGGAGATACAGTACTTTAATTGTTAGTCCGAGACTTTGATTTGCCATCAGCCATAACGAAATTTGTCGTCTGCTTGTGTTAAGTGTGTTTTTCTGATTTGTCTTGAGATAAACGAAAACATATTTTCTGATCTACCTGTGGATTGCAATCCACGTATTGGCCACAGCAGTAGTAGAATTTGCAGTTGTTTTACCATGTCCAACATTTCAACCAAATTTAGTTTCACACACTCACTAATTGTAAATCATAAATTTGAATGCTGTATTTTTTTATGAATTAATAATGAAAGCACTGTAACTACATGTATAGCATTTGCTTTAAATTATGGTATATATGATTCCTTTCCTCTTATTCACAACTGTATAGCCTTTATATTATGTTATCCACGGAAGCTATAGGCTCTGGCAAAACTCCTATTGTCGATTTGTCTTCATGGATAAGAGGAGACCATCGGCAAAGTTTTATTAATTCCCCCATAAATAAGTGGAGAAAATTCACCGATAACCCCTCCGACAATAGGACCCGTGGTATTAGTCCCACACATTACACTGGATACGAGGAGTTATCTTGTACAGTTTGTTTGATAGTTAATATCAAATTCATTACATATAAATGCTTGTTTTATTTGCACATTTCTTTAAATTAGTTTGCTTATTTGCATAGGGCAGACGGTTAACGAATTAGGCTAAATTGCAAGGAGCGATATAATAGATTATAAAGTCAGGCATTGGTTAAGGTGATACTTGTAAAGTACATTGAAAACCTTACAGATTTCTGTTCTGTTTTACCTTACGTTTTGTCATGTTTAACATCAACATGTTCAGAATCAAATCTGAAAATTCTAGTCGATGCAAACGAATCAACATTCTTGTTTCTGAGGACAGTGTATCTGTGTTGGTGTCGTGTTAACACTGAGACCCTGGTGCTGAACCCCAAGGTAGCTGGGTCAAGTCAACATGGAGGCTAATTTGGGGATGCACAACCACCTCAAGGGAAACATTTAACATCAGTATAGTGACGCTAGTCACGTATTCTATTGTGTAAGCATGTTTATTTCACTATCTGGCCCCGACTGTAACATTCCTAAAACATAGGAATGAACCATATGTATTAAGGAGGGAGTGAAATCTAACGTATTTGATTTAAAACAACTCAATTGTGAATCGAACCGTCTGAAAATAAACAAAACTTTCTGAAATAATAAGAGGGATAGGACAAAAAACATAACAATTTTTGCGCGCAAAATATTGAAGAATATGTGAAAAGTCCATATTGTGTATGTTTTATTGAGTAGTATTTGAAATATCGCCGCCTCCCAAAAGAACAAAAATCATTTACAGCCGAACACTTGGGTGTTAAATCCACAATGCTTTTAAGCACTTTACAACAATCAGTGAGCAGGTGTATGAACACAGCGATCGATGCTAAGCAATGGTTCGAGCGTGTTGGGAGACAAACACAAGTGAAGGCACAAAGACAGACACTTGTCAAGCCATCTGGGCCCTGCTCCGTCAGAGTAAATAACAAGGCACGAGATCCTCGTTTTGCCATGGAGCCAGACGCAATTAGTGAGTTTCTTATCTTTGCTCAACAGAGCAACAGCATCCTGCAGTCCAACGTTGATATTAAGCCAAGTGGAAATCTCCTACATTCTTTGCCCTTTAAGTGATTTTTCAAAAGCAACTTTAATTACTCTTGTAGCTTTTGGGCACAACGTAATAAAAAAGAGAAGTTCAAAAGCATATATTTTTTATTGGCATTATATATGTTCACATTTACGGTACTGTTCTGGTGCAGCATGAAACAATTAAGCCAATATTATAATGTCCATCTTTAAACTGCAGTGAAACGTACACATATGACAAACTGCATGCGAACATTTCACATTATCCTCATTTAATTATAATGCAACTTTAAAAAGCTGTCAAGGTTCACACCAGGTTACCAAGGCTGGCTGAGCCATTATGTACGTGTGTTGAACTTATTTCGCACCGGACATAGCCAACCGTGCCAATAGGAGGTGCGGGGGAAGGACAATGAACCAAATACAAAAAGCAGTTCTAATAAAATTGGTATTTAATCTAGATTTAAAAGTGCATAGCTCCAGTGGCTTCCTACTATCGGAAGTGTGGCACATTAAGAATGGACCACTCTTTTAATTATTTCCTCGTGCAGCAAGGGAGTAGAGTGTGGTTTTGTGAAAGTCCTTATGTGCTGTGCAGTACATCAATGCACGTGTGTACGCCAGCATGTGATGACTGAGTTGGGCCTGTGGGTGGCTGGCAGGGTTAATGATGAACTGGCCGGGTACACCAGTCACGTGGTTAATGGCGACCGAGTGAAGATTGCTGTGTGTGACGCCACGTACTGTTGCATTTTACAGATTAACCACAATAAATGTTGATTTAAAGCTTTCGTGACTGCAGTAATTCATATTCTTAGTTTTTTCGGTAAAGTCACGTGACTTTACCGAAAAAACTAAGAATACACAATAAATGTGTTTGCCCTCGATTTGAAGCACCTACCCACGTCCTTCATTTCGAGTGTGCAACAGAAGGAACAGTTTCCCAGACGGCCACAGAAGCGCATCTGAAAGTGCGCGATGCAGGAGGAAAATATTCCTGAATGACCGAGACGTTGTTTGGAAGTTCATCCTTCTCGTGTAACCCCTTGCATGTGACCGGAACCGTTATGGTTGGCAGATAATTTCGAGTCGCCTCCCCGTCGGTGCGGAACGCTCTGCCAGATGACCTTTGATCACATCCCATCTCACGAAATGTAAAAAACAAAACATTTAAAAACACCGTTGTGTCGTGTGGCCTTCGGGACTTTTAGACTGAAAATGACCGGTGCATCCGGAATCGCCACAGGCGTCATGACATCTCCGAAATACGGCGCTGTACAAATACATGCGCTAATTACAATGTGCACATTTAGCCACTATGCACTTTTAAATCTAGATTGAAAACTAATTTCTTTCGAACTGATTTTTTGTCTTTAGTTTGTTGTCCTTCCCCCGCACCTCCGGTCAGCGCGGTTGGCGACGTACGGTGCGAAACAAGTTTGACATCCATGCAAAATTATTTATTATTCCCTACATATTCAGCCCATGTATTGCTGGATTACATTCGAGATAGATCTACTCCACGTGGTCAATGATCTTGTCTTGTCCTGTAAGTGTCGAAGGGTTCGTTTGTAACCTTGTAAAGAGTTGCGCTTACTGTTGCTAGAGCACACGCCTAAAGGTGCAACACAAACAGCACAATTAATGTTCTCATAAACTTGAATTGACGTGTCTTAGAATTGAGTAAAGTTATACGAACTTGGGAAAAGGGACGACTATTGGAGTGAAGTCGCAGAAAGCGAAGGGTTTTAACCTGCACCACCACCGGTGGTTGATCAAAGTACAGATGAGACAAAACAGTCAGTCTGGTAGACTGACGCCTCGTCACGGATAGAGCAATCAACGAGTGAAAGTCACAGTGGTAGGTGACTGCTTGACAGGGCAAATCATAGTAGGAAGGCTGTTCCCTTAAGATGCTGCAGAAGTCATGCAGACCTGTCGTGAACCCTGAAGCACCCTAGGCCTTAAAGTATAGTCGGTTGCTACCAGGGAAAGGGCTGACATGGGAACAGAAGTCCTGAGTACGCCGCACAACTACATCCAGCGACGGTGTCACGTGACTGTTGGGGAATATTGGAGAACATCGATGCACCCATAGGCGGAGTTTGGCTTCTATATTTGAGGCGGCGGGGGGGGGGGGGGGTGTTCGCTTTGTCCCTCACATTATGGATCGCGGGTGCATATAATCAATTAATTCATTTGTAATCTTTATTGTAAACTGCTGAAAATAAATCAATAAGCGGCAACCATGGCATTACCAACGGGTCCAAGGGGCTCCTTGAGAGGCCTGGGCACCCCCCAACTCCACCCTTGGATGCACCGCACCTAATGAACAATTGTAACAAGGTTGGAGGGTTCTCTAAGACCACCACCTGGCACCCCGTGCCACATCCACAGATGCCGAGGGCTCCTTACACGTTTTCGTGCGCGATTCCTCCTTTGAACTTATGGATGCCTGGCCCACATATGGGGATTTCTCATAATTTACAGATGTGATTGATTGTTGGCATTTGCCTGGGTAAAGAGCCCCATATTGTGGAAGTGGGGACTCCACGTGCACTTCGTCAAGAAATGTCGACGGTGTTTGCGTCACGCATGAACGCCAAGTGCGTTTTATATGTTTTTGTTTGGCTTGAAACCAATGAGATTCCTGTTGCCAAATGCACACATTTCCTGGCCATGCCATTTGTCTCCCTGCCATTTAATTTAATTTTCCTTCCCGACATCATGTTTCTGTCCCCCCCCCCCCCACCGCATCACTTGGCCTAACCCCCACTTTGGCTTCTCTGCATCGTTCCTTCGCCATGTCTGTCCTGGGGCTTTGTCTGCAACTGGAGCTGACCTGGAACCCCGTTGTTGCTGCCCTGGCTGCCTCTGAGACTCGTTGATAAAGGCTCTTGGCACCCATTCATTAGCCATGGAACTCAGGAAGGGCTCGGGCCCACTGAGAATGTCCTGGGACTCAGTGGTAAATGGACCTAGCCCTCCGCGATTCCTCTGAGACTCGATGAAGGGGCACGGCCTATTGAGGATGCCCTTGGACCCGTTGGTAACGTCCTGGCTGCTGCTGCTGCTGTTGCCAGAGCTGAACCCTGCTTGCTTCATCTTCAGCTGTGCCAGTGTTTGCCCTCTTCCATGTCTCCCTACCCGGTCAAAACCCACCACCCAGTTTATACCCTCATGTAGTTTGTTTATTCAATTAGTTTTGTAAAGAATTGTTGCCGGGCAGTTGTAGCGCACGCCTGTAAACCAGCCTCGTGGAGGTCAAGGGTTGGTGGATCACACGCGCATTGTGAAACCGCCTTCCCATGGGCGTTGAGGTGCTCTGCAAGAAGGTGGTACAGCAAGCAGACCAATCTCCATCTGTTTCCTTCTCTAAGGGGAAACGGTGTTGATCCCTCGTCGTGCACATGGTTTTTCTCGCATGAGTGGCACAGATGCATAATTTAGGTAAAAAAACACGACTGCTCTGCTACTATCTTGTGACACAGCAAGCCCAACATTGTTTGGTGCATGAGGTTTTTTTGGATGATATCGCACCACCTGACACACGCAATTAGTAAGGTTTGTCACGTAAACAAAACAAGCCAATTCGTTAGTAGTTCATCACACCGGTGTGTTGGAGAGTGACCTCACACCATTGTTTTGGTGGGTGGAGAAAACCCAGTCCAATCTAACACGTTTGAAAGCGTAAAGGAATCTGAGATAAGGTTGCCAAATCATTATAGCAATAAATCCGACTTTCAGTGCCACAGTTGGAATGCCACATTCAATGGCTCCGAGGTGCTAGGTGTCCAATCCCACTGGAAGTGAGGCTACTCAGCCAGCAGTTGAGCCACAAGAGCACTGGAATGCATCAAAGGCAGCGGTGGACACAACAGATGCAGTAATACAATTACCAAAGCACGTAGATACAATGTTTTCTCAAGGCGGTGACCATTAGTTCTTGGACTGATGCAGTATTTCAGATCCTTTCTCTCTAGCTGGTGCATGGAAATGTTCTTGACTCGAAAAAATGAGCAACAATTGTTTTTATTTCAAAGTGCTTGCTTTTCTTGATATCCTATTGACATGTAAACAAATGCTTTCATATACAGAACTCCTCTTACCCGCCATCCTGTTATACACAACTCCTGTAATCCGCAGCAGTTGTGGGATCTGCAAAGAAAATCCCTATTTTTCCAAGATCCTACATCTTCCTACTATCCAGGGGGTTATCTGAGAATGTTTTACCCCACAGATAAATTTTCAGATAACCCTGTGGATAATAGGGTCCACGATACTGATCCCCCGTATCACCGCGGATTAGGGGAGTCCTCGCATACTGTACTATTTTGAAAGTGCACACGGTTACACGAGTGAAAACTGATTTTAAAAAATACAGAATTTACCTGTACATTATTTGAATTCAAACATGTAGTGTTGGGGGGGGGGGCTCATCAATATCTATGTCAACAACTATTTCAAAACACACTTAATCATAAAATATACTTAAGATCTGGCATCGATACATTGCATGACTGCAATCATGGATGTTTAATTGTGTGGCAAACCTATGATTATTTTCTTTCCCGACACTAAGAAATGGATATGTAACGTAACTTTCAAAATAGAGAATGCCGTTCAGTCTGTCCAATTGTAGAATACATGGTTGTAATCTATAAAACTACACCTTGGATAGATTATCAAGGCCAAAATCAAGTTTGGCCATTCCAGTGAGCAGTAAACTTTCTATTGGTGTATAGCTGGGCAATGGTGGCATACGCCTGTAATCCAGCACTGTGGAGGCAAGGGTAGGTGGATCACGCAAATGTCAAACTCCATTCTCGTGGGCGTCGATGTGTGGACTCCACCTTGTCCCATTTGCATGGGATAGAGCGTTGCCCCCTCACACGTTTGGGTTTTCTCTGGGTGTTCGTTTCCTTCCACAATGTAAACACATTTACTTGGCTGAAAATATCTTAATATATAGGGAACCGCAGAGCTTGGGCAACTGTTGGTGCCGGCTCAGCACCTGGCTGCCTTCCCACTTATCGAGTGAGCAAACACTATGCGTGTTACAAGTTGAAATTATCGTATAATAAAGGTTCCCCATTTAGCCTAATAGGGTGTAGAACCAAGTGAAGTTGGTGAGCACCTAGTAAGGCTGGTGTGACCTACATCATCTCCCCAGAACAGATGTTAACATCAGATAATGGACTCATGTCAGGCTAAGTCAGTGTCGAGGAGGCCTAGGCAGTATACCTTCTCACACGTCCTGCCTGACCAGGAATCGAACCAGGGAAGTTGTAATAATAACGACAGTTTTCAAATCACAACACCACAGCTCCCACAATGTGTAACGCGCATTCACCGCATGCATGGTGTGTAAAATAATGGCACGTACCATTCTCACATGCAAAGTAAACAAAGGGAGCGTAACTGTTCGTGAGATGCCATCTGAGCATTGGGACTCATTCACTCATCCTCACACTGTAGAATTTTTATTAACATATGCCTTGTTGTTTAATTCAAATTTCTATTGTGTGAAGCTGGAAAGTGTAATAATGTCCACTGTTCAACGTGTGTTAACAGCCATGTATAATGATATGTGCATATGGGGAGAGGTAGTGTAGCGGTTAGCGCGCTGCGCTATGAACCCAGCGACCCGAGTTTGATTCCCGCTCATGGCCAACACCAGTGATGACTATTTGAAACAGTGCTGGGCCTCCCCTAGATCGACTCAGCCTCAAATGAGTGCCTGGTGCGGTGTGTTAATATCGCCACTCGGGAGACAAAGGCGGCCGGGCGTGGTGCTGGCCACCCACTCCCTTGTGTGCCGTGCCGGCCTTCATAAGTGTTTGCTAACAGCACTTTCCCCAACAATCTGTTTGGGTTATACATGGGATCTTTGTCTGTTTCTTTAAAGAATGCGCAAAAGGTGTGTTATGACTTCAAAGGATAATGAGAAGATGTTTTCTGTTCCAATATTGCTGAGTGTTTGTACTGCTGTATTCGTGCAAAGGATGATCACACGTACAGCCGGAGGGCATTTTGTGTGTAGCAACTTCTTCTTTGGCACAGCACTTGCGGGTGGACTCAGTAGTCGAGTTGGCAAAGGCATGCCACCCCACGGGTCACCCAGTGGTTGCTCGGCTGGTCGGTGGGAAACTTGACGGTGAGCACGTAGTTGGTGGAGTGTCCCGTGGTGGAGACGATCCCTCGACGCGCACTGGTCTTGTACACTGCCACAGGAACGTCACGCAAACGAGCAGCACGAGGCGAGGCCCAGAGTTGGATACCACGGACCTTGTACAGCATCTCCATCAATGCCTATAGCCTCTGCGGACTTTGCGCCACCAGAATTATCCGAGATTCTATTATCCCACACTTTGCACTCCTACCGTGTGTATGTATTGTTTGCTGTCGTGACCGTTCTGACTGGCCCCTACTGGACATCTCTGAAAAATAGCTTTATAGCTCATCGGATTGCTCCAGTATAAATACATATTCTAATATTTTGCTTAAGACACACCTGATCTTGGTAATCGATTACAGCTAGATGGGAGTCAACCAGAAAGAGTACGTTATTTTTAGGTTGCAAATTAAGTCAAATATTTATTTTAGTATTCGCGATATTGATGGTTTGTCGAGCGTTCTTAAATCCGTGACATATAATTCAATTGTTTTGTCATCAGATGAATACCAGCCCTGTGGAATGATTGCAGTCAGCAGTGCATCATGTGGCTCACAGATCCTGGTAGATGGTGGTCAACGCTACTTCTGAACACACTGCAATAAGGCTCTCACGTCAAACAAAACAAGTTTCGCCATTTTATACCCCGTAGTTAATTGTGGATCTTGCAGCGAGTGCAGCCATTTGTCAGCTGAACTGATGTGACCAAATTTGTGACACTTGAGAAACTAAACGCGGGTAGGCTGCCCTGCATTGCAGCAGTGGTTCTCAAAGTGTTGTCAGCTCAGCACTGATGTGGCCATTAGTCCCCTGAGACACCACGCCATATTTCCCTGCAGTTTCTAACAATGTTTTTGTATTGACTCATTGCAATCCCTGTGTCGATAATACTTAACAAACATTCCTTTATACAACTAATAATGTGAGGGAGACCTTTGTGATTGTACTGCTGTATGAGGGCGTCTCATGCCATATCAGTCATGGCAATTTGACCGTACTTGACCATTATTAACGACATTTTTTTCTTTCTAGGTAAGTCCCACTGAGCTATGTAGCTCTTTTTCAGAAGTGACCTGGCCACAAATGATAGCTCAACGAAGTGGCTTACCACGTGGAAATGTATCTCAGCCAAATACTCTAAAAGCATGTTTCTATAAATGTGGAGGGTAAAACTGTACTCCACCACGAGGACCCACGAGGACCCACGAGGAGGAACATGCCAACTCCAAACATACAGGCATCAGGGTCGGGATCGAACCCACGACCTCCTGTATATCAGGCAAGCTAGTTAATATCCTGCCACCATGGTGTGAGTAGGTGAAGGGGACTCGTTCAGATATTACCCGCGACTGAAGTTAGCTGTCGCTGGGAATGGAACTCACGGTGCCAATTTCGTATCCCAGTGCGCTAACCACTGCACCACAACTGCCCCCCCTGTGCTACGTGTGAACCGCATGAGATACAACCTGGGCATGCGTATGTTGACGTTTCTTCAGCTGTCGACCTCTCCACTGGCTTTAACCACATCTGAAATTATTCGTTAGGGAAGCATTCAAAATGCACACCTTGAAAAACACAAGTATTACAATTCATAACCATCTTGCTGCTAACGGTACACCCCCTAACACTGAGGGCGACCCGCTGTCATGGCAACACTGATATTCCAGCCACTTTTATTTCATAGACCTCTACGATTAGCGCGATTGGCTACGCCCGGTGCAAACGAAGTTCAACACACATACATACACGTACGTATATACATAGCAAATGTATGTTAAATTGTAAACCTAAAACCATAAAATATATTCACCTAACGTATAAATACTCTAAGATACAATTTTAATAAAGGCCTGGTCCACACGCGGCAACACTCATCACAACACTGCTCTGTGCACGGCACAATGAAAGGATACCACTGGAAGGCTGTCGTATAAAATCTTTTGCAGGGACTCTCCGATGACTCTCTTCTCTCGGTCCCATCGCCCGCCTTCCATGAACAGACCTGTGATGTAAACGCCAGCATCCTAGAATGCATTTTTAAAGAGAGACAAAAATATATATAATTCGTGCAAGAAAATATGTGGATGTTTCTAATCAATCTGTGGCAAGCCATTGCCACACGAACTACTGTGTTTGACGATCCACAGCTTCAAGTGGGCAAATATTTTGGAAAAAAAGGTTCTGAAGAATAAATGTACATTGTCAAGGGGAATCAAAATGGTTATGGGAACATAGTTTGTTGATGATTTTTTTTTTCAAAATTAAGTGCTGCTTTTGTCTTGGAATTTTTGTTTATTTGTCAGAGATATCTATTTTGAGAGTCAATGTGTCCAGTTTCATCCACACCAACAACCATGACCTATCTAAGACTGCATGAAGGACTCTCGAAGCCATCACCATCTCTCAAGGCCTGACGAGGAGACCAGTGCATTTTGTAAAGTAATAATTGTGGTTACAGCACTTGGTACTCTGATGCTATACTGCTTTTTGCGTTCAGTTTGTTGTCCATCTCCCACACCTCCGATGAGCGTGGTTGGCTACGTACGGTGTGGAAGAAATGAAAACTTACACACGTACATAGGTACAAGTAAAGCAAGAATTGCCTCACCAAGCTACACTGTAACTGGCTGGCGGTGGTCACATTGACAAATTATATGCATGTGCCCTAGACCAAGTGGTACTGCGTGTTGTCCCGCACGACGTTCCGCAGAAGAAGGGACCGAGTTCCCGTGGAAGCTCGCAGCGCGTGGAGCGAAACGTCGACGGCGGACAACACGCCTTTACAGCCCGAAACGCTTCCAAGAGATAAATGTTGCTCCTGTGTGCAATCCAGACGGATCTGCGATTCAAACGACCATCCAGCAACGCATCACGTACAGGCCTCTCCACCACGTGCTTCTCGTGCTCGGTGATGTGGTACTGGAAGCCCAGTTGGTCGATGGGAACTTTGTGCTTCCGCGCGAAGTTCTGGAGGGCGCCTGTGAGGAAGGACTGCGTAAAGAAGAAGCCGGAGATCCAGAAGACGGAAGGCGCGCCCTTCTCTATCCACTCCTGGGGCGGCAGACACCGAGTGGGTGAGAATGATAGCATATCAGGTACGTCAGTCACACGATCGCAGAATACAGCTTACTGTGGCCGAATAATACAGAAATTGCATTACCTGTGACTAACGTGGCATCTGCAAATGTAAATGATCGATAATAAACTCTGCAAATCAATATTAATCAAGTAGGAGCTTATTGAGACAGAAAGCTTCTGTTTCAATGTAGATTGTAGAGAAATACCAAGGAAAATACATCAACATTGGCGCAGCATACGATAACAGTGGTGCAAAACAATGTTAACAAAAACAAGTGTTAAAGATCTATCTGCTAATGGATTAAGGCATTTCCAAGTCATTGCCACCCCTGATGGTCTCGTAATAAAATACTGCATATATTTACCACAAATGAGCTAATCTATCTCCACGGTGGTCTTCTTCTTGGCTGTGTTCCCTCCTTTGGCTGTCATTCCATCATCAGATTAGTCCTGATTATTGGCCATTATCCCTTTGAGCCTTCCATCCTGCTCAAACCAACTTAATTTTTTAACAGTCAAGATGACATCGCTAATTTCTATGTGTTCTCTGTTCCACATGTTCCTCTTTCTGCTTCTCAGTATAACTTTTAGCGTGCACATCGTCAAACTTGTATGTATGTTGACCTTCTTTTGCACCGTACATAGCCAACCGTGAGAATCGGAGGTGTGGGGGAAGGACAACAAACTAAACACAAAAAAGCAGTTCTAAAGAAATACATTTTCTATCTAGATTGAAAAGTGCATAACTCCAGTCGGCCGCAGAAGCACATCTGAAAGTGCGCAATGCGGTGATCACCGTTGTTCAATAGCTAGCCAAAATCCACTGCTGCGGGTATGACCAGAGTTTGCATGATGATGTATGCTCATTGACGAGATCAGTCAGGTATTGTGGTTCATTTGTGGCAAGAACTACGTTTGCAATGAGTGCATGTGCACCCTTAAATTTGTAAAAAATGAAATTCGCTAAGAATAATAATGCTAATTTATAATGCGCTACGAATGTGGAGGGGGATGGAGTTCCAAGTGGAGGGGCCGACGACAGAAAAACGACGCATGCTGATCGTGGCCCTGACTCTCGGCGCCGAGAGTAATTCCTGGGCATAACTGCGGAGAGTTCTCCTTGTGGTTTGGGAGGAAGGGTTCAGGAGGTCCGAGAGGTATGGAAGGAAACCGGTCCTGTAGACAGTGTAACAGTGCCAGGCGCTTTTGAAGGTGATTCTGATGGGGATTGGGAGCCAGTGGAGGGCCCAGAGAGCAAAGTCGGAGGTCAGACGCGGTTGGTGGGAGGTGAGGACAGTTCGTGCGAGGTGGTTTTGTAGATGTTGGAGTTTCTTTAGGTTCTTTTGTGAAGACCGGGTGAGTACTGAGTTGCAGTAGCCGATGCGTGAACTGATGATGCTACATGCTAGTGTGTTTGCTATCTCTGTAGTGATGAGTGGGCGAATATGACAAAGGGCTCTCAGGTGGCAGTTACTGTTTCTGATGACCAGGTTGGTGTGAGTATTGAACGACAAGGTGGAGTCCATGGTGACACCTAGAAATTTGAGATGGTCGGTGAATTCAACAGCGAACACAGCGATTAGGATGGTTGTAGGTTGTGAAAATGAGGCTAACTTTTGTCTGGTACCATATTTTTTATGTGTGTCATATCAGGTACTATGCACTGATTGAACACTTTCTTCTTTCGGCACAACATTAATGTTATATTTTTTATTACTGCATTCCAACTTGCTCTTGCTCACATCTTTATTTCATCAGTTTTATTCGGGTGCTCTTTCAATAACTGCCCTAGGTAGTAATACGCACTCCACTTTGTTTTCCAGTAGTGTCCTCCCAGTAATTGTTTCCTTTTGTTCAGCAAACTTCGAGCACTGACTTTTGTTTTGCCTTTAATCGTTAGCCCCATTTTTTTGTTATGTTCTGCAATACTTTCCTATAGTAAGTTAGCATTGGATATTGGAATGACTATATCATCAGCCAACATTGGATGGTTAATACTTAATACTTACAGCCTCGATGTTTACGTGTTAATTTATCCAATACACCTTGTGTACAAATTTCATCTCGCGCATAACTTTGGTGACGGCGTATTTCCTTGCCTAACTCTGACCTCTTGATGCACAATTACACAGCGAACGCTAATGTACAACCCAATGTATGGGTTGGTAGGTGATGCAGTTCTTCATACACAGTATACCTTTGAACTCAACAAACCCACAAATATAAATGTAAAATGTGCTCGGCCTATGACGAGGCTCGGGTACACCGTGTGGGCTGATGTAGTTGGCACAAGGCCCGAAACGTCTTCCCAGCTCAGCAGTCTATACCCGATACAAACTAATTTCATGGTCGTCCGTCGAATAAAATATTGTTGTTGATACAGCCACAACCAATTTTAATAACAATATAATGTATTTCTGCAATTAATCTTAACACTGTAGACTGAAGGCATTTTTAGGAGGCTCATACATTGGATGTTTGGCCACCTACAAGGAGTGCTTTGCTAGAGGACGAAAAACAAAACAACCATTGAGAAAATCGACAAATATGAGAGAATGACCCTGGAAGGTCTGACACGTGGGTCATGGTCCCATGTGCTGTATTGCTGTCCCCTGGCCACCTCGCATGCCAGCGTGTAAGGGAGTCTCATAACTGGATGTGGTCGACCAAACCCTGCCTCTATGCCTGGCATGTGTCGCCATGCGCAGCTATTAACCATGATCCTGGGCGATATTTTCAAGCGCAGATTTATACACTTCCATTGATGCAACAGGCGTTATAATGGTTGTGTAGTTATGTATTTTACCAGGCCTCTAAGTTGGGAAAACGAGCACTCTGTGAGCCTGGCCAGCAGGTGGCAGTAGACCAGCAGGAGATGGGAATAGCGAGGAGAGGTGGCAGGGCTTCACAACATTGAGCGGTGTGGGCAGTGAAGTGTAAGGAACATTGTGGTGGTGATGTGTGAATGTCAGCGTGGATTCTCATGCCCGTGGGATGTGTGTGAGAATGGATACTGCTGGAGTGAGATCCTAGGACGTCCGCCGTGCGTGTCAAACGAGACTTGATTTCGTCTGCTTTAAAACGATTGTTACATTGTTTCATATTATCTCCCTTTTATCAAACATTAATTTGCAACACAGCGATTGTCCGAGAAGGATCCTCCACAACTGAGTGCAGGGGATCTCTGTCTAGCAAATAAGTGTTTATTACTGTATATGCAAATAAATAATTTTGGATAATTAATTTGAACGAGGTTGCTGTGTTCCTGAATGCTGTCAGACAATGCGATTTAAGGGTAGGCAGTTGTCACAATCCATCAACACACAGAGCTCCTAACTTCGATAAGTCAACGGAAAGAATGTGCTAGGCCAGAGCAAGCTCCCATGAGCCTTGATCTTTAAAGGAATGAAAATGGGAGGTTTTCTGAATGGGGTGGAAAATAAAAACACGGACATGATCAACTGAAACCTCGCTATCCCGAATGTGCCTTCGTGTCTGAAGTAACGTTGAACATTACAATCAGCGTGCAATGTCAAATTTACCGCCACCGTTTGAATACGATGCGTGGTAAAGTAAGCTATATGGGGCAATGGAGTTTTCAAGGTTGATAGAACTCGATGACAAGGCCATCGAGTGGTTGATTGATCTGCATCTCGACCTGAAACGGCTGACGCAAGAAGGAGAGCATGCATTGTCAAACAGACCACTCGGCAGACAGGCCAACGATAAGATACAAGGAGAGCTCTTGCTGTCTCATACATTTGTTTAAACACAATTTACACGTATTGCAGGCTAATATGGCTAATAGAAAGCTGCTCTATATATTTTTTGGGGGCAAGAGTTGAGGAAGGCCACTCTAGATGGGAGTATTTTAAAGACTCTTGCTCTTGTTATTCAACAAATAAAGAATACATTATCTCCAATCGCAATGTGTCCGATAATATATTCCACCTTTTGCACCTGAGCAGTGGACAGCATTGAAAGTTTTAAGATGTGAGAGTGCAAGTTCTCACGGTGAAAAATTGCAGTCTTGCCAACAGGTCTGACACGTAGCTTCCCAGGGGTTTCAAAGACGGATAGGACTTGGCAGACCACATCGCAGGCACCTGCAGCAAAAGAAATGGCAAAGCAATGTAAATATATATTTTTAGATATGTTCTCACATCTTATACACTCAGGTGTACCTGTCTTTCTTGGGACTTTTATTGTTTCACAATTGAAAAACTCATCTTGAAAAGTCTACACTGAGACTCAATATCGCTTCGGTCGATGAAAAATATTCACTTTAATCTCTACCACGGCGTCGGATTTCGCCGTTGTGCTGCGCAGCTCCCTGACGTGCCTCTGCGGGTTGCACAGCTACGTGTTGTTCAGCACGGTGCCCGACGTTTCGCTCTACGTGCTGGGAGCTTCCTCAGGGACTTCAGGATTGTCGGATATTATGCCGAACGACACACGGTACAACCCACAATGCGCATTAGAGAGCGTTCAATCTGTGATTGTAAATTACATACACAGTGCATGGATGCTCCAAATAGGGTTGCGTGCTTAATTGCAGAAGAACCTTACAAATAAACTTGAGTTCGTCATTTACATTATGTGTGGTTTTTTTTTACCAATTATAATCCAACTGTGCTCTCAGTAAAGCTGCGAGGAGATTGGTGGAAAATCCACCACCGCCGCAGTCGCTGACCACCACTTGCATTAACATAAGCTGCCTCGCCCATGCTGCTGACATTTGGGCTACGCCCATTTCAAACCTTTATAAACAGTTTGCCTTGAGAATCTAATCCCCCTTTTCCTGATGACGACCGCTTGTGTCGCGATCAAAACGTCGTAGTTTTTTGTTATTTTTTTGAACCTATCTACGTGACTTTACCAAGAGACCCAAAGAAAACGAGAAAACAACGCCCTTCCAAATGTCAGAGCCAGCATCACTTCACGCTGTGGCAGAGCCTGGCAAGATAACACCAGAGGGCCATTTATGGAGGCACTGCTCCTTTGCATGTTGTACAGAGTTGTTTGTTTCGTACTGTTTATCCGGTTAATACGTGGGAGCAAAATCAGACGTAAATACATTGATACATAATACAGGTTTTTTTGGGGGGTGAGATCGCGTAAATGTAAGTGTGTCATTAAACCCGTCACCACCCGATACAGACAACTAGTAAGGTTTGTCACGTAAACAGAATATGCCAATTCGTTACTAGCACAGCACACCGGTGTGTTAAAGAGAAAATCCACGGCATTTACAATCTGAGGACGACGTTTCGCCAGTAATTACAACTAGCACAATCAGGCGGCAGCCGGATTTAATAAGTAAGATAAATACATTGACTTCCATTTTGGATCTGCAGATCAAAATCTATTATTATTTTTCACATTTGCTATGTGGACTTCCGAGGCCTATCTTAATCAGCACCATTATTTTAAGCAAACATTTGGACCAATTGTACCCTTCATGGTTAACTTAAGTGTAGAAGGCCATAGGCTGATAGAGTCAACCTTTTTTTGTGTGGAAATCATCAGCAGTCATTGTCTATCCACTGCTGGATTAAGGCCTCCCCATGCCATTGCCATCCCTCGCAGTCCATCTCACTGGTCTCATCACTCCATGTCTCCAGTGGCTGTCCTATTGGATGGAAATTGGTTTAATTATTTCATTACCTAGACTGCTGCCCGGCAGCATAATGGATTTTTTGTGCTTTCATGAATGACCAATTCAAGCACGTGGACACCTTGTTTAATCATGGTTTGGTTGCTTGGATACACACCTAGTATCTCAGCAGAGCCAATTCAAGGCTCTGACATGTAGATTATGACCCACTCAAACCTTTTGACACTTGAACACACCGGAGCCACTGGACATGTAAAATCCAATTCACCTCTGATCCAACACTACTCAGAATGGATAACTGGACAAAATGTCTCATTCACATACCATCTCTCCACTTAAAATAAAGTATTTATTACATACCGCACCTTTGATTAGTGAGGTCGGCGACGTACGGTGTGAAAAAAGTTAAACATACATACAAAACATCAGCTGCACGACTTTCTGGAGGTGCTCAATATCAAGCAGCATTGTTTCAAGACAAGTAATCCTTTGGGCCGCTCTTGCAGTGTCTCGTCAGCAGAGTCAGGGTTGCTTGAATCAATCCCCGGCCCATTGCCGATCTTACAGGCAGCGGCCTGCCATGGGGGTCCCAATACGACTCAAAGAGTGCTGCAGACGCCCGCACACCTTTCCGAGGATGATGCTGCTGTAGATGTCCTCCAACTCGGCCGACATGAGGGCCTGGCCGCTGACGGCGCGCGTCACGTTGCGCAGGCTGTTGCGCACAGTGCCCGTGAGCCCGTTGAAGCGCACGAGCTCCTGCACCAGCACCGTGTGCATGGACTCACTGTAGCTGGTCGGGAACTTGCTCTGCCGTCACGTGAAGCGAGCGCGAACATGGTAAACAAACACACCAGGAGACACCCAGTCATACATTGAATCACAAAACATTACGTTGTAAAAAGATACACCCGTGCGGGCGCTTGCTTGCGCCATGTGCTGGCCGATTGGCCTCCACTAGATGCAGTCTTAGAGAATCACCCCTCTGGAGGGTTTTTGGTCTCTTCATCTACACTTGCCAGACGTCTTGGATAGGTCAGAGTACCATAATTTTGGCCCACCACACGTGACCCGCCGATTGATTAACTGTCGTGCCACTCATTTATACCACTAGGTGGACAACGGCGGAGGGTTTTAACAAATTTGCACCAGTTTCAATCTGCCGTGCCGGGAGATCGAACCGGTAACCTCTGGTTCGCAAGTTCCTCCAGTGGAGGCTCGTCTACCATCGGTGGTGTGAGCATATCTCCAGTGGCTGCACCTTAATCTTTAAAATCTCACCAACAGCAATATGAATCAATGTGTGTTATTTAAAGCAGAGAGAACTCATTATCAGGTTAAGCCTCAATGTTGTCATACTTTTGGAAGCACTGAGCCAGTGGGAGAAATTTCACATTCTCTATTAGGCAGCCATTGTTGACTTCCCACATCTAGCTTAGGCCTACGCACCAAATCGGACAGGAATGATCAACATTCTCATAAGAGGATCCCTTTTGAGAAATCTTTTTCTATATATATGGTGTTTTTTATTGAGGTATGCACACAAATCAAATAAGGTACATGTGGCTTTTTATGAGATGGTGGTCACAACCTATCACTCCACATTTTGAAAAACTTTATGCAAGAAGGCAACAGCTCATTGTGATCTGCATCACCACGTCAAGGAAACATCTCAGGAATATTGCAAATAACAATGGGAAATGTCAAAAAAGGAAAATACTGTCACAAATAAAAACCGATCAAAATACATATGCTTTAAAATACAACGGGACGTTGTTTTTGTTTTACACATCAACATTAGAAAACATTTACATAACGTTTTCAAATGTGTAAATGATAACAGTTCTTACAGAGGAGCAGCTATTAAATTTAACGTTGATTTTGCAGGGGAATTTCAAAATGTATTTTGGTGATCAACGGAGTACAATGCACTACTCTTGTGGATGACGTAATCTCGAGTGCTGCACACTTTACGGAGGAACACACCCTTTGGCAATTCTCTGCAGAAAACACCGGCCCGCAACCGAAACATTTGCACCTCCGTCTTGAAGGAAGCTGGCTCAGAGGAGAGCATGACAACTACAACAACTTTGTAATATACAAATCATTGGAATGAAGGTGTTGTCTGTGGATTTTGGACAGAAGCCAAGTCACCATTGTCACACCATGAAACATTTATTGGAGTATGCTATTGATACAGTGAGGGAAAAAAAGTATTTGATCCTCTGCTGATTTTGTACGTTTGCCCACTGACAAAGAAATGATCAGTCTATAATTTTAATGGTAGGTTTATTTGAACAGTGAGAGACAGAATAACAACACAAAAAATCCTGAAAAACGCATGTCAATAATGTTATAAATTGATTTGCATTTTAATGAGGGAAATAAGTATTTGACCCCCTCTCAATCAGTAAGATTTCTGGCTCCCAGGTGTCTTTTATACAGGTAACGAGCTGAGATTAGGAGCACACTCTTAAAGGGTGTGTTCCTAATCTCAGCTTGTTACCTCTATAAAAGACACCTGACCACAGAAGCAATCAATTAATCAGATTCCAAACTTTCCACCATGGCCAAGACCAAAGAGCTCTCTAAGGATGTCATGGACAAGATTGTAGACCTACACAAGGCTGGAATGGGCTACAAGACCATTGCCAAGCAGCTTGGTGAGAAGGTCACAACAGTTGGTGCGATTATTCGCAAATGGAAGAAACACAAAAGAACTGTCAATCTCCCTCAGCCTGGGGCTCCATGCAAGATCTCACCTCGTGGAGTTGCAATGATCATGAGAACGGTGAGGAATCAGCCCAGAACTACACGGGAGGATCTTGTCAATGATCTCAAGGCAGCTGGGACCATAGTGACCAAGAAAACAATTGGTAACACACTACGCCATGAAGGACTGAAATCCTGCAGCGCCCGCAAGGTCTCCCTGCTCAAGAAAGCACATATACATGCCCGTCTGAAGTTTGCCAATGAACATCTGAATGATTCAGAGGACAACTGGGTGAAAGTGTTGTGGTCAGATGAGACCAAAATGGAGCTCTTTGGCATCAACTCAACTCGCTGTGTTTGAAGGAGGAGGAATGCTGCCTATGACCCCAAGAACACCATCCCCACCGTCAAACATGGAGGTGGAAACATTATGCTTTGGGGGTGTTTTTCTGCTAAGGGGACGGGACAACTTCACCACATCAAAGGGACGATGGACGGGGCCATGTACCGTCAAATCTTGGGTGAGAACCTCCTTCCCTCAGCCAGAGCATTGAAAATGGGTCGTGGATGGGTATTCCAGCATGACAATAACCCAAAACACACGGCCAAGGCAACAATGGAGTGGCTCAAGAAGAAGCCCATTAAGGTCCTGGAGTGGCCTAGCCAGTCTCCAGACCTTAATCCCATATAAAATCTGTGGAGGGAGCTGAAGGTTCGAGTTGCCAAAGGTCAGCCTCGAAACCTTAATGACTTGGAGAAGATCTGCAAAGAGGAGTGGGACAAAATCCCTCCTGAGATGTGTGCAAACCTGGTGGCCAACTACAAGAAACGTCTGACCTCTGTGACTGCCAACAAGGGTTTTGCCACCAAGTACTAAGTTATGTTTTGCAGAGGGGTCAAATACTTATTTCCCTCATTAAAATGCAAATTCATTTATAAAATTTTTGACATGCGTTTTTCTGGATTTTTTTGTTGTTATTCTGCCTCTCACTGTTAAAATAAACCTACCATTAAAATTATAGACTGATCATTTCTTTGTCAGTGGGCAAACGTACAAAATCAGCAGGCGACTTTTTTCCCTCACTGTAAGCATGTGGACGAATGTTCCCGTGTAGGTTTTCGTGGTCGTGGTGTATAGCTCTCCGATGCGTTTTTTGGGTTGTACCGAGCGTGTTTTTCACCACGATTGACGACATTTCACTACACGTGTCAGGAGCTTTGTTTAGAGCTGAATTGATGATACATCGGACATCACACCAAACAACACGGTAACGAGTTGTTAACTGTCTCGCCTGCTATACAGGAGGTCGTGGGTTCAATCCCGACCCTGACGCCTGTTGTATATTTGGAGTTTTCATGTCTCTCTCCGTGTGTTCGCTTGGATTGTTCTCCGGGTCCTCTGATTTTCCCCTCCACATTTATAAGCATGCGTTTAGAGTATTTGGCTGCGATAAATTTCCACACGACAAGCCACTTCATTGAGCTCTAATTTGTGGTCAGGTCGCTTCTGAAAAAGAGCTATAAAAAGCTCAGTGGGCCTTTCCTGGTAAAATAAAAAAAAATAGTTTATAGTTTTAACACCACGGTACAACCCAGAAACACATCAGAAAGCATGCGGGCAAGTTACTCCACTGGCATGCACCCTCAATTACGTTTGTTTCCCATATACAATATGTAACATTGGTTGTGTTTCAAAGGCAGGAGTATGTATCAAACTACGCATGCTAACCGTTAAAATGTTTACCAGCTAGCTGTATGACACTACAACACAAGGCAAATCAATCTACTGGAATGATTTCCAAGTTTTAACTGCACATAAAACGTGTACACATGAAGTCAGGCTGTCTCAGTGTTGTTGTAATAATTTAAGTATGTTCAACGTACCTTGATTTCTTCAATGTCAAATTTGGGGGGTATCTTGGAGAGAATGTCTGTAGCGAGCTCCTGTACAAAGTCGGAAGATGACTTGCCACCACCTGATGTCTTCGTTATTCGAAGACAAATTTGACATAAATTAGTTAAAATAAACCTTGAAAGTCAAACGTTTGAATTCATAAAATAGCCAAATTGAGACCCAGCTGTGCATTGAGTTAAAAAAACAAACGTATGACTCAAAGTCAATATTCCAATTAAAACTCCGTCAGTTTTGGGTCCTCTCCAAAATCTTGGCCCAATTTAAATTTGAGAAGTGCAAGAGCAATTTTAGTTTACAGGTAATCAAATAAAACATCAAAAATATGTTTCAATGTTCAGAATGTATTAACCCACAGATACAAAAAAATATTCACCTCTAAGCAAGTTCATAACTACAGAAATATTGAATGTTAAATAATGGAAGCATTACAATATTTTTAGGAATTGCAGAAACAAATATAGAAATAACTGAAATGTTCATTATAGTACCATATAATCGTCAAATGACTCTCAAACTTGGTAAACACAAAGCCCAGTTTATATTGCAACCATTCAAGATGCTGTATTTCAGGCTAGGACCTAAGATGTTATTTGTGGCATCATGCCAGTCTCGTACAAGCACTGGATTCCAGTCACACTTCACAAATCACCAGTCATCATAACGGCCAAGATCAGGAGAACACCATGTACAATGTCAACCGATGCCACTTCACATCGCCGCTGCTTCCTTCTGCATGCCAGCCCCTTCAGCTGCTGCACAACTTGACAACGGTGACCCTGGCAATTTGTTCTTCCAGTATACATCCCCCCACCCTCCAAGTTTTGGAAATGCCTGATATACAGGAGGTCGTGGGTTTGATCCCGATCATTATGCCTGTATATTGAGTTTGCATGTTCTCCTCGTGGTCACGTGGATTTTTCTCCGGGCCATCCGGTTTTTCCCCTCCACATTTATAATCATTCGTTAAAATAATTTGCCTGCTATAAATATCCACATGATAAACCACTTCGTTGGGCTATCATTTGTAGCCAGGTCGCTCCTGAAAAAGAGCTGTATAGCTCAGTGGGCCTTACCTGGTAAAATAAAAAAATAGTTTAGTTTAGTTTTGGTCACCGACCCCTGCGTACCACTCCAATTCCCGCCTTCCTCCATCCTGGACACGAACCCTACCTGTTACCGAACCTTCCTGGTTAACTCGACAAAGTTATCCCATTGTGTTACATTCTGAACTTTCTGAGTTGACTACACTATTCAGCGATCGTTTGGAAATTGATGAGTGATATCTGGGACCAGTCCTGGGCCACACACCATCTCTTCACGCCTTCAAGGTCAAACAACCCTCATGACTCACATTGAACAGGGAGACATTCATCTAGTAGGAGAATTCAACAAGGGGATGTAAATTGGAATTACATATTGTATCACAATTGAAGCATAGCAACATCCTTCAAGTGCAGTACCAACTCTAAATATGAGTTATCTTAGTATTTCAGAAAGTCCAAAAGCTATGTTCCTATGGACAGACTATCAAATACCATAGGATGTGGAAATCCAGTAACTGAGCTCACCAAAAATCTGTGGAACCACAGAGAACTTTGAATTTGTTTTGGCATGCTAGGCCGTATAGCCGCAAAGTCTTCGATTTGACTTCCATGTCAATTTCTATGCCGAACGCTTCACAAAGGTGGACATACATACCCACAGTTTATCAAAAATACATGAAAAGTTCTGAATAGCCGGTATATATGTGTGTTTAGTTTAAACAAGGAAAGCTCACCTCTCGAGGCAGTGTTTTTAGAATGCCATCAAAGAGCCTTTGGGTCTCATTTTGCTCCTTGGTAATGCTGGCATTCTCGTGCAAACCAAACACCTGTAAAGAGCCACCGCAGGGTCATGAATACGTGGAATTATACACCAGCGATGGGTGCTGCGATTCTTTGTAAACACAATCCACCCCAACGTGAGAATAACCATATATATAAAAACAGGATGTGTTCGTAGGTGTTTCAAAACATTGGACATCTTTTATTTGCTGTGTGAAACATTCACTTATGATGCTATAAACAGGAGTACAACTGGTTGTTATAAAGCACTGTGTTCCATTAGGTGTGATTTTTTTTCCATCACGTTATTGACGGGAGTCAGTTTACACATCACGTGGCATGGCGAGTAATATCCATAATGACGTCAGTACAAACCGATCCTTTAACAACGCATGAATTCAACATATTACCAAGTGCAGCACTTGAAATACTAACAGACAACCATGGCGCCTGCTAAAACCCAGTTTCTCACTCAAGTACCACCACACCCAAGGATGTAGTGTTAAGTGCCATTTAGTACAAAGTATTCATACTGCACTGTGCTTAGATACTATTCCTAAATCAAAATGATCACTATTACTACAGGCGGGGGAGTAGGTGGCGCAGTGATTGCACTTGGTTAAGCCGAGTCTGATTCCTGGCTAATACAGACGCTGTAATAAGAAATAACGCATACATGTAGAGGTGACCCGGTTCGACCTCCTGGCACGGCGGCACGCACGCACCTCTGGGTGGGCGTGCAGCGGCAGGCCCTTGATGTGCTCCAGGTGGCACTCGTAGGCGGCGCCGGCCGGCGGGGCACCGTAGCGGCCCGTCGGGGAGAAGCGGTAGGCGTCGTCTCGCACCGTGCGCTCGCAGTAGAAGGTGGCGAGCAGCGCCAGCAGCAGGCGCCGGTCGTGCTCGTCGGTGACGCGCCCGCCGTAGTTGCACTCGCCCGTCAGGTAGGCGAGCGCTTCCAGCGGCACCTCCTCGTACTCGTTGAGAAACATCTGATGTGTGGCAACGATGCATTGATTTTTTTTTTTAGGTTTTAGGTTTTCGTTAAATTTTGATTTAAAGCTTTCGTGACTGCGGTAATTTACATTCTCAGCTCTTTCGGTAAAGTCACGTTGAAGGGAAACAATAAAATTATTGTTTTATATGTATTTTATTATTTTATTGTTTCCCTTCAACGTGACTTTACCGAAAGAGCTAAGGATATAATATTAGGTTTTCTTTATTCACGATTTCGAGGCGTGGTAAATTCAGAGTATAAGCACGTGGTCCGACGTGACAGGTCGCGCGCGTCTTTATCTACGGAGGTCACTGGAGACGAGGAGGAATTTTAACAATCGTATGTATGAATGTTGAACTTCTTTCGCACCCTAAGTAGCCCACCGTGCTAATCAGAGGTGCCGGGGCAAGGACAAAAAACTAAACACAAAAAGCAGTTCTAATGAGATTAGTTTTCTATCTAGAATTGAAAGTGCATAGCTCCAGTGGCTTCCTAATATTGGAAGGAAGAGCGTTTCAGATGGCCACAGAAGCACATCTGAAAGTGCGGAATACAGTGACGGTCTTTGTTTGATGGCTAGCCAAAGGCCGCTGCGAGGATGGCCGGAGTTTGCGTGATGTGTATCAGTTTGAGACACAGGCGGGGCAAATAACCTTACTCAAAATGTCTTTCAATAAGCATGAGCAAATTACGGTATTTCAAGAAAGGTGGTATGAATGACATATTTGGTTTACAGTGAGGGTCTGATTATAACCGTGATGGGAGGGAATCTGCCACGAGTGAGTCGTACATGTACACCCCTATCTTCGTGTCAATCCATTTCTGGATGAGGGTGTCTCTGTGTTGGTTGTTGGTGTGTTGGTTGTTGGTGTGTAAACATCAGCAATGGGGAGACAAAGTCGGCCGGGTGTGGTGTTGGCCGCCCATCCTCTTGTGTGCCGTGCTGACCTTAATAGGTGCTTGCTAACAGCACTTTCCAAAATATTTTCTTAAAGGCTTTACGTGGCCTCAAAGTGCACCTGGCCTGGCACAGACGCGATGGTGACGCCAATGTCACTTAGCGGCGAATGACGGGTGTTGTTTGTTGGGGTTATTTGAACATATTCAGTCGTGCTGGTCAGTGAAGACTGGTGAAGGTGGGGAGCATAAGATGTGGAAGCATACCAGTGGAGTACTGTACAACAATGTATCTTGCTGCACTGCCCTCTGCTGCTCAACACGGGGTCCTGCAGTCTCTTACCAGACCTGTGTTAGGCATCTGGTGGATGGCCCATCCAAACACAACTCGACCTCAAATCTGATTATATTCAGAGGTGTGATAATATAGGGTACATTTTGGTCTATCCGCTCATAGGCATGCGTGTGCTATTTCGACTTAAAAGTTGAACTGTTGCCTAAATGCATTTATAAAAAATATATATAGACAATCTTGATTTGAAGCTTTCGTGACTGCAGGAATCCATACTCTTTGGTTCTTTCGGTAAAGTCACGTGGGTAGAAAAAAATTCCAATGCTGCTTCATTGGCATTGTTGCTTCATTGGCATTGTTGCTTCATTGGCATTGTTGCTACATTGGTGTTGTTGCTACATTGGCATTGTTGCTGCATTGGCATTGTTGCTACATTGGCATTGTTGCTACATTGGCATTGTTGCTTCATTGGCATTGTTGCTTCATTGGCATTGTTGCTACATTGGCATTTTTGCTACATTGGTATTGTTGCTTCATTGGCATTGTTGCTGCATTGGCATTGTTGCTACATTGGCATTGTTGCTGCGTTGGCATTACTGCTACATTGGCATTGCTGCTACATTGGCATTGTTGCTGCATTGGCATTGTTACTTCATTGAGATTGTTGCTGCATTGGCATTGTTGCTACATTGGCATTGTTGCTACATTGGCATTGCTGCTTCATTGAGATTGTTGCTACATTGGCATTGTTGCTACATTGGCATTGTTGCTACATTGGCATTGTTGCATCATTGAGATTGTTGCTACATTGACACTCGTGCACCGCCCGTGCTCCTGGTGCTGTTGATACATTTGGGCTACGCCCATCCCCAAACCTTTATAAAAAGTTTGCCTTTAGAGGCTGACTCCTTTGCCTGATGACGACCGCTTGTGTTGCGATCGAAATGTCGTGATTTGTTTTATTTTATTTCTAACTACGTGACTTTACCGAAAGAAGCAAAGATAATATTCCGACAATATACATTACAATCCAGTTTTCAAGTAGGATACTTTGGGGCCGTCCATAAATGACGTCACGCACCTAGGGGGGGAGGGGGGGTCAGACATTTGTGACGATGTGTGACGAGGGGGGGGTTTGAGAAATGTGACGTCACATCAAAATGTGCAACTTTAAATAAATATTAACAACACGTTCTACTTAATGAAATATAATTTGTTATAACAACACTAATTTTGATCAATTCTAATTATTAACTTTTTGATTATTAAAATTGATTAAGGTCACCTTTTATTTTTAGTATCGATTATATTATGTTAAACTTAAGAACCGGAAGTCAAACTACATCACACTTTAATAGAGAATATTACTTCGTCACGAAGAATAAGTGCAAATAAAATGTTAATGCAGTCGTTATATTAAAAACGCTTGACAGTTTCGAATAAGAATTTTAAAAACGAAAGTACTATTATTCCTGTCATATCAATCGACAGAATTTTTAATCACACACATTTGTTTATTAAATATTGATTTTTAATATCAGTATAACATTTTTATTATTATTATGTTACGATAACATTTATGATAATATAGAGGGAAAAGTTTTTGGGTACAAAGATATCAAACAGCCATTTTTGAGCACGGAGGGACAATGAATCCTGGAGTACCAACTAAATAGACGTCACTCGGCAAGGAGTACAATAGTCAACGCGTCCTCTCCATCATTCATCATTCCTCCATGAAATTTTAGTTCTGGCGTCATGCTTATTTTCGCCATCGTCCTACTGTGAACCATGAGTGACTGAATTTAACCATTTAGGATCTTTAATTTAACTTCGGAGTTCCCGTATGGAAGTGAATTTTATTTTTTAAATCGCCCACGATTCAGTATATCGTGTGCATGATTTCGTGTTTTTATGTGCAAACAAAATGTATTTATATTCCATGAAGGAGCATTTTGCTTCTCCGTGGGAGAATGGAGAAGCATACATTTTGTAAAAATTTTGAATGATTGTTATTAATCATTTTGATTATGATTCAACCAGGGCTTTTCATTCTGTGGAATGAATGTGATTGTTATAATTGTACTCTCCATTTTGCTTCGTTCTACTACAAAGTTTCAAGTATTTTTTTATTGTCATAATTACTTTTAATATTGGAAATTATAAAATAATTTTTGTATAATCTTCTGAACATCTGGAGTTTTAGTTAGACGATGAATATTTTCAAGTGAATTTTATGCTAAATTTCAGCTTTCCAACCAACGCCTCCTTTTTATTACACGCTTTTATTTAACTCACATTGTCTGTTATTGTAGTGTTTGTTGTTTCATCAAATCTTGTCACTCAATTTTAACCCACGCCCCAATCTGGTATCGACTGCAAACTTGGCATATTCTAGATTTGAAGTTTTTCGTGACTGCAAGGATCCATACTCTTTAGTTTACTTTTATTTAATTACTTTATTTTTATTTTTCACCTACGTGACTTTACCGAAAGAACCAAAGAGTATGGAAACTTGGTATACTTATGTCATACTGATGGCAATACTATATTCTATCATTAAAATAAAACAAATATTTTTAAACCATCTTTTTTATGTTATGTTTCAGCTTGGGTCTAATTCTCCACGGTCAACTAACGTTGGCTGTAAATGACCACGGTACCTTACGTTATGGCAAGCTTCGGGGCCACTTCCTGGAGTCGTGGAGCTCTGCCATTGCTACTAGTACGGTACATTTCATAAAAGCGTGTTTAAAAAAAAGTATTTTTTAAATATTACTTATTAATACATGTTTTCTCCTACAACTTCAGAGTGCAGCGCCACATGAAATACGCACTCTAATGACAATAGTTTAAAGTTATTTGAAGCATGTTTTATTTTCAAAATGAAAATATGGTTTTAGAGGGGGGGGGGCAGAGCTCTGTGACGTCATATTTGAGGGGGGTCTGACTTTGTGACGCCGTGTGACGAGGGGGGGTCAATAATCGGCCAAAATCGCGTGACGTCATTTATGGACGGCCCCATACTTTGGAAGGGCATTAACGTAATTACCTTTTTATCACAGTATGTTTTTTTTTTAAATTGAAAGAGTGACGTCAATTTGTAAACGTGTTGAGTTCCTGCGTGCCCTCTAGGTGGCAGCAACACATCGGTGAAGAAGAGCAAGCACAGCACTGCCAGGTGTGGCGTGCCGCATGGACGTGCCGCGACCGAGGATCACGCGGATCCCATCGTCTGCTGTGAACACGTCTTATGCGAGGCGGTCGGCCAGCAGATTGCAGTGCAGCAGATGGGTTCGTGACGTGTCTTTGACGATCGTCAATGTCATCCTCGTATTCGTGGGACTATTCAGGATACTTTGATTCCTCCCCTCTTGCCCAATACGAATCAAGAAGAAATTACCCTCGTATCCCATTGAGGCTTTCCCAGATGAATCAAAGTAAACCTTTTTTTTTGTATTGCTCGCATGGCTTTTGGATAGTGCTCAACTACATCGGAGGCTCTGGGACAGTTGTAGAAATTCCACATGCTCACGGCAGTAGGCAGTCTAAGCATTGCACAATTGTTGACTTCCCAAGACATGTCTCATTTAAATTAACCCCCCAGAGAGATAAACAGCATCTCCATCGGATTTTTTGAAATCCAAACTGCTGCTGAGGCCTTCATCCACACCTTCAGTACAGTGAGGGAAAAAGTATTTGATCCCCTGCTGAATTTGTACATTTTCCCGCTGACAAAGAAATGCTCAGTCTATAATTTTTATGGTAGGTTTATTTGAACAGTGAGAGACAGAATAACAAAAAAAATCCAGAAAAACGCATGTCAAAAATGTTATAAATTGATTTGCATTTTAATGAGGGAAATAAGTATTTGACCCCTCTGCAAAACATGACTTAGTACTTGGTGGCAAAACCCTTGTTGGTAATCACAGAGGTCAGACGTTTCTAGTAGTTGTCCACCAGGATTGCACACATCTCAGGAGGGATTTTGTCCCACTCCTCTTTGCAGATCTTCTCCAAGTCATTAAGGTTTTCGAGGCTGACGTTTGGCAACTCGAACCTTCAGCTCCCTCCACAGATTTTCTATGGGATTAAGGTCTGGAGACTGGCTAGGCCACTCCAGGACCTTAATGTGCTTCTTCTTGAGCCACTTCTTTGTTGCCTTGGCCGTGTGTTTTGGGTCATTGTCATGCTGGAATACCCATCCACGACCCATTTTCAATACCCTGGCTGAGGGAAGGAGGTTCTCACCCAAGATTTTATGGTACATCGCCCCGTCCATCGTCCCTGTGATGCGGTGAAGTTGTCCTGTTCCCTTAGCAGAAAAACACCCCCAAAGCATAATGTTTCCACCTCCATGTTTGACGGTGGGGATGGTGTTCTTGGGGTCATAGACAGCATTCCTCCTCCTCCAAACACGGAGAGTTGAGTTGATGCCAAAGAGCTCCATTTTGGTCTCATCTGACCACAACACTTTCACCCAGTTGTCCTCTGAATCATTCAGATGTTCATTGCCAAACTTCAGACGGGCATGTATATGTGCTTTCTAGAGCAGGGAAACCTTGCGGGCGCTGCAGGATTTTAGTCCTTCACGGCGTAGTGTGTTACCAATTATTTTCTTGGTGACTATGGTCCCAGCTGCCTTGAGATCATTGACAAGATCCTCCAGTATAGTTCTGGGCTGATTCCTCACCGTTCTCATGATCATTGAAACTCCACGAGGTGAGATCTTGCATGGAGCCCCAGGCCGAGGGAGATTGACAGTTCTTGTGTTTCATCCTTGGAGAGCTCTTTGGTCTTGGCCATGGTGGAGAGTTTGTAATCTGATTGATTGCTTCTGTGGACAGGTGTCTTTTATACAGGTAACAAGCTGAGATTAGGAGCACTCCCTTTAAGAGTGTGCTCCTAATCTCAACTCGTTACCTGTATAAATAACACCTGGGAGCCAGAAATCTTTCTGATTGAGAGGGGGTCAAATACTTTTTTCCCTCATTAAAATGCAAATCAATTTATAACATTTTTGACATGCGTTTTTCTGGATTTTTGTGTTGTTATTCTGTCTCTCACTCTTCAAATAAACCTACCATTCAAATTATAGACTGATCATTTCTTTGTCAGTGGGCAAACGTACAAAATCAGCAGGGGATCAAATACTTTTTTCCCTCACTGTATATCACAACTCGTCAACTGTAATTCTCCACGGCAGTATTCTTCACTAATTTAAAAGGGGGGGGGGGCGGCTCTACTTTCGCCGATAAGACATCAGTGCGAGGGCCACCACACATTTTAAACCATTGGGGTTTGACAGCACGATGACGGGAGTGTTTTCACATGCTGCGTATTGTTGGGGGGCGCACGTCAGGGACCGCACTGAAGGTCACCAGGGGCCGCCAGTGGCCCGCGGGCCTTGCAATGAAGAACGCCGCTCTATGGGTTCCTACAATGTCTGCACTCGCAAACTTTACATGAACCAAATTCCACTGGTAGACGGGACTCCCAGATCCCTCCTCTGGTGCCAAATACAGTCCCGCATCAACTACAAGACTGCCCTCACCGTCATCGAGTTCCTCCACTGACTCGCCAGCAACCAAGGCCTTCTGTCAATGCCCCCAGTTAATGCGTGCACTGTGGGACATTGCTCATTCTCCTCTGCTGCCCCTATAGACTGGAACTCCCTTCTACTCGTCATTAATGCTGTCCGTTCCGCCCTCTTTCAAATCTAAGCTCCATACCGTTTTACTTTCTGTCTATGACTGACTATTCTCTTTCAATATACAGTATATAAAACCCTCCTATATAGCATGCCCCAACTGTTTTGCAGTGTCTCGACACACCATGGCGTTTAGCTTCTCAATACATTCCAACTTATATTGCATTGTATGTTGGGGTTGTGTCAACCTCTCACCAGCATTTGAATTCACAACCTCCCCAGTGGAATAAAGGACAAATGAAGAACAATTATAGCCACCCTGCCCACTCCCCTCATTCAACCTGTTTGACATGCGCTGTGAGTTTGTGACTTCACATGCTGTATTTGCTTTGTGTGACACATTTTCTATATAGGTTTACTTTTGCAGGATTGGATATCTTTTGCATTTGAATATAAAGAGGTAGTGTCTGTAAATGGCCATAAAACACTGAAGTGATGTTCACTTTAAAAAAGAAACACAATTTGAGAAATTCAGTTTGCATTTGCAAAGCAAGTACCTCCGCTCAGGCTTTGATATATTCTCAATTCACCACGTACACCACGACAGTCCTGCACAAAAACTTAGCTACGAGCTGGGTGATTTGATAAATGAGACGTGCATATTTTGATCTAAACGCGAATACACACGGACATTTCAGATCAGATGTTGCCAATTCACTAAGGAAGTGGTTAAATACTGAGAGATCATAGGCAAGTTTTTTTTTATCTCATCAATAATTTAAGCATATGAAGATAATTGTTCCTTTAAAATTAGCCCTCAAAATTCAATGGGACGAAGGGAATGCTTATATGACATAAATGTGATAATATTCTAAAAAATAATTATATTGTTTTAAATTTATTAACTCCCCTTCATGCCTCCACACACTGTGCTTTCCCTCAAACGTTCGCAGGCCTCCTTGTACAAGAGACACGCTGTTTCAGAAATCATCTCAACAAGTTACTTACACTGCTGCTCAGGTTTTTTGCGGTTGCGCTGAATGGCTGCCCGATGTGTTTACCGATTTACCGACGTTATGCCCCACACGATGTTAGCTTTTCTCAGTAAATTAACCGCCATCATATTAAAGTTCTATTCGGCTAGTGAAGCTCCCAGCACGTGCAGAGAAATGCCAGATATCTTGCCAAGCGTGAAAAAATAAAAATAGGATTTACCCCTTCTGGCAATAAAACAGGTGTTAGGATATTCAAACACCGAATAGAAACCTATTACAAGATTTGTTTCATCATTGTGATACCGGCAAAAAGGTCGCATAGATATCTTGGGACGCAAAACACTGTTCAGCACAAAACCGTTAACGTTGCCCTTGGTGAACCGTACCTCTGATTAGCACGGTTGGCTACGTATGGTGTGAAAGAAGTTTAACATACGTACGAACCACTGTGCATTACCTGAACCTGCCGTGCGCTGATACGCAAGTCTGACTCGTTGAACTCGTAGGAAACGTTCCAGCCCAGCGACCCGAATGTTCGACGTTCTTGTACCAGTGCGTGGAAGAAGCAGAGGCCGAACAGCAGCTTCTTCCAGGGCTACGAATGAAAACAACGGGGCACATTTACAAAACACATGCCTCTGATTCGCGCGGTTGGCCACGTACGGTGAGAAATAATTTATACATACATTACTGACAAATGCATGCCTCCGAAAAGATAGGGTACTGCGTAGCACCCCATTCATCTCCAAATTACTTCAACCAAAGTAAATACAATGACATTCGGTCTGCTGAAACAGTCTCTCACACTAATTATACGTGTGATAAATACCACTTTGCACAAAAAAGCCTTCAGAATTAAAGGCATGAAGCACACACTCTCCCTTAGGGCTTCTTCAAGCAAGGATCAAAACTTGGATGGTGATGACTGTAATAAAACAACCTTGCAGAAGCAAGGGCATGGGATGATATTCAAATTTAATATAATAGTGCAATGGCTGCCCGTTATATAATTCCTGGGCAGCGCTTTTCAGCAAGTAAATAAAATGGCGATTACGTAGAAAGCGCTCAATAGTGTTATGCAGAATCATCCAACAGCAGGATGTCCAGTATCGTTCGTATAGTCGCTATGTTTCATACAGTCGCTATGTTTCGTAGAGTCGCTATCGTCCGTACAGTCTGATTAGCATGGTTGGCGATGTACGGTGCGAAAGAAGATAGACATACGTACATGCACAAATTATATTCCAGTGAACGTTCTCAAACCGCTAAATCCCGGCCACCTCGCAAGCCAACGGCGTTTGGTTAGTTCTCAGAGCCAATGATGAAATATGACCAATCCCACCTACAACGCTGGCCTGTGGATCTTTTTACCTGGTAAGATAAAAAATATATATTTTCTTTCATATGCATATATTTTTTTCAGTTATTTGTTTCCCTTTCCTATACTTTGCAATCCTATCGTATTTTAGCATTGTTTGTTCTTGTAACGGTTTGACCTGCCTGCGCTGGACATCTGTGAAAAAGAGCTTTATAGCTCATCGCATTCCTCCAGTATAAATAAATACTCTGATTCTGATACGCCGCCAAGCCCAAGGCCTCGGGTGTCACAGCGCAGAGCGGTAAGCAAACAACAGATTGCTCGAGCGCGTTCACATGGTCACTTTTGAGCACATACATAGCATGCGCCCACAATGGAACATTTGACATTTTATCTTGTTTATGGGACCAGCTGTGAGGCCACATGAATACAATTTAAAATATGTTCACCAATATATATGGCCAAAATATAAATTACACAAGAAAAACGCACCAGCACTTCAAAACCTGGGGTGTGAGAATGCTGGAGAACACCGACCAACAATCGATTTTTCAGCTGTGGTAGTGGCGGCCACATCGATAAACATCCTGAACATCCCGTGTTTGTCTCAATGCTAACCAACTCCGATTAGCACGGTTTGGCTACGTACGGTGCAAAAGAAGTTCAACCATAAATACATATAACTCTGAGGCACGCATTCTGAACATTGTCTTATGTTCCGTTCTTCCCCCAAATAAACGGTTCACACAGAGGCCAATGCACACTGTGTCATGCGGAGTAAACACAGCAGGTACATGGCCACATTTGGAACTTGACGTGATACACATCCCCCTATGAAGAGTTAGAATCAGGCTGCCCCCAATCAGTAATTTTATTTTCTGTAATGTTTTGGTTTTCCCGTAAAATTATCTTATCCTTATTGTGCTTTCAGAATCAAGTCACAGAAGAAGGGTCCACTTGGAAGACACGCAGAATGGTGAAATCACCCTGTCATAGAGAACGTTCTACAGATTAAGATATCATAAATCTACTTCTGAAATAAATCCACACCAGAGAGTATAATTTTCCCACCAAGAGTTTTAATTTCCAGAGGTGGAAATTAGCCAAATTAAGAGCATAAAAAGTATATTTTTTTTGTACGTGTGTTTGTGTGCAGCCATTGTGGGGAACGGTAGTGCAGTGGTGTCCCGAGCATGATTCCCTTTCACGACCAATAAGTGATGATTATTTGAAATATTCCTGGACCTCCCCTCGATCGACTCAGCCTTAAATAAGTGTATAGGAGAGAAATACACGGTGCGCACAGTTAAGCGGGTGCAACCGAGGTCGAACGGGTGGGTACGCTGTGACCGGAGGTTGGCGTCTAGGAGGTGGGAGATGGGGGGTGATGATAAGGGATTAATGGAGCAATAGGCGCCAAGCTGACGGGAGCTTAAGTGGAAACACGTGAGGACTCGGAATGAGCAGGGGGATATAAGCGGGAGTGTGTGAGCAAGGGGTGGATGTTGCCGGGAACCAAGGGTGAAGACATCTTGCTGCTGCCGCTCCAGCCGTCAACGGGACCTCAACCCTCACGCCATCACCGGGCGGGTGTTGGCTGAACCCCCTGCCCGGGACAGACGGGTGAGCGGTTATGAGGGAGCGTAGGTGAGGGCAGCGGTGGAGATGCAGAGTTGCTGAGTGCGAAGTTGCTGTGTGCAGAGTCGCTGAGTGCCGGATAAGTGAGGTGCAGAATAGATAATAGCAGGGAGAAGTGTATGTGACCGTACAGATAGTTATAGGAGTGCCTACAACTGGCGCAAGAACAGGTGAAATAAAGTGTAAGCAGGTGACTTGTTACAACGTGTCGGTGTGAGTAATTTTTGAAGACACTACAATAGTACCTGGTGCGGTGTGTGAACATTAGCAATGGGGAGACAAAGTCGGCCGAGTGTGGTGTTGGCCACCCATCCTCTCGTATGCCGTGCTGGCTTTCATAGGCGCTTGCTAATGGCACTTGCCCTCATAGTCTCTTGAAGGATATTTCGTGGATTTTTGTCTAAACTAAAAAGAATAAACTATTTCAATATTACCAGCTAAGGACCACTGATCTATAGCTCTTTTTAAGAAGCAACCTGGCCACAAATTATTTCCCAACGAAGTGGCTTATCACGTGGACATTTATCGCAACCTAATACTCTAAATGCATGTTTCTAAATGTGGAGGGACAAACTGGAGGACCCGGAGAAAAATCCACGCAACCACGGGGAGAAAGACACACAAACTCCAAATATACAGGTGTTGCGCCATAATAAGGCGCTGTAGGCAGCTGACCTGCCACCCCGCTCACGGGCCGACAGGGGGCAGCCGAGAGAGAGGTGGGTAGGGGTTGACCGAAGGTCAAACCCCCGCCCCTCCGTGACCGGAGGTTGACACCCCAGACCCCCCAGGGGCTGGGGGCTGAGGGGGATGGGGGGCCCCCACCACTTCCTAAGGCCCTTTAAGAATTAAGACCCTCTAAGACCTTCCAGAAGGTTCTGGAAGGGGGGGGGGAGAGTCATGAGGGGAGGGGTGACCCCGACCTGGAGATAAAAGGCCGGCCCTCTGAACGGGTCGGGCAGTGTTCGTCAACTCAAGCCTGAAGACATCCAAGACCTGAAGACTGAAGCAGCACCCGGGGACCCTCAACCGAGGCTCTTGTTAGAGCCGGGTTGCAGCGGACCCGTGCTAGCGCCAGTACCCTGGAACCCTCCCCGAGGCTCTGTTCAGAGCCGGGTTGTAGCGGAGCAGAGGTGGGACCCGTACCCGGGCTGGGTCGGGTTGATCAAGCCTCCCTTAGCGGCCGTGGCAATGGACGGGTTTGTAGCGTAGCCCAGAGTGTGGAGGGCGCGTTAGAAGGGAGGCTTTACCTCCCTTAGGCTATCGGGTTGAAGGGGCCGTACCCCTTCGTGTTACAGTTGCTTGTTAGAGCAGAGCTGTTATAATAAACGCGTTGCCTCCAGAAGACGTCTCCGTGTGGTTAGTTATAGACACAACACAGGCATCAGGGTCAGGATCGAACTCACGATCTCCTGTATACCAGGCGAGGTTAGTTAACATCTCCTAGCCACCGCGATATCCTTAATTCTTTGCGCAGCCATTGGTGACCAGGCGGTCTCGAGAACTCAGTTTTGTTTTATCACAGGCAGCTGACCGGACTCAAACTCAGCATCGTAGCAGCACCAGAGATTAGTGCTCCAATGTCGGTGCCACTGCATGTTGCCAGCGCACCACCAGAACAATTCCATTCAGCATCTTCACACCCCTGGTCTGGCAACGTGATGAACCTTGATGCTGATTGTGCAAAGTAATTGCAAAGTGTGCCTATGATCAAATGTGTAAGAGGCAGTGCCCATCTCTGCTGGTGGCACAAAGTCAGTGGTGGGAATTCCCCATGGATATGATGGAGATGAGGCTCTCCATCAACAGCCAATATTCTTACTTTGTACCAGATACGCAAGATTTTCCGTTTGCACGTGTGAACATACATATGTATGCTCATGTTCAACAAATGTGTTTGTAAATCCAAGGTATGTAAATGTGGCAAACGACGAACACCTAATATGAGCATAGTCACTGCAATGGCAGCCGTGTACAGGCACAAACCAAAATACCACTGACAATTGAATACTCCCTCAAAGCAGAGCCATATGAATCAAGATAATAGTTTGAGGAAATAGGCCATGTTTTGAAGAAGGGCCCTAGAGGCTTTATGGTTTGTGCCTGTAGTAAAAACCATTTGATGAATCAGTCACATGACCCTGAGTGTTTACCTATATTGACCCTATTCTTGGGGTCTTTCGGTAAAGCCACGTAGATAGAAAAAATAATAACAATATCACGACGTTTCGACCACAACACAAGCAATCGTCTTAAGGTGACCTATTTTGGTACTCGTTGACTGTAGGGAACAAATTAAAAGACCAAAACAGCAATTTTCAAAAATGGTAAAGAAAACACGTTGGGCTGCAGTAAAAACGCTGCATGGACCGCACTTTCCAGACTGCGGTTCCATCGCATGGAACGTTCGTTCCACCGCACAACAAGAGCTCTGCCACTTGAAGCGCGGCCTGACGACGCAAATAACATCCCACACCGCGGTGAAAAGACACCGGGCATTGGAAACGCTTTCAGCACAATTCCGTGATTGTCAAACGACTCTTCCCATTGCATCGTGTTGTTCTTTTGCTTTAGCCAGGCTTGCTTTGGAGCACCACAGTGGCGAGATGTTAACAAACCTCGCCTGGTATACAGAAGGTCGTGGGTTCGATCCCGACGCTGACGCTTGTCAATTTGGAGTTTGCATGTTCTCCCTGTGGTCACGTGGATTTTCCTCCGGGTCCTCCGGTTTTTCCCTCCACATTTAGAAACGTACATTTAGAGCATGTTGGCTGCTATAAATTTCCATGCAATAGGCTACTTTGTTAAGCGGTCATTTGTTGCCATGTCACTTCTGAAAAAGAGCTCTATATCTCAATGGGCCTTACCAGGTAAAATAAAAATTGTTTGTGGTTGTTAGAATTACCGTGGGCTTGTTGCATCCATTGAAGAAGCCAGGATCGGAGATGGGGTCATTGAGGAACGAGCGCAGGAGGTTGGCCCGGAGGCCTATGGGCGACTCGTTGGTCATCTTCACGCCGTTCTCCAGCACCGAGACGGGGAAGCGCGTGCTCGGGTAGCTGGTGAGCCACAGCCGGAACTCGCTCTGGGTTCGGTCCGGATCCAGGAGCCGATCCTCGCAGATGCGCTCCAGTTCCGATAGCCAACTTGCAGCAAGGTGGCAGTTCTGCAGGACCACCCAGGTGCCCTCGCTTGCTGCCTGCACACCACAAACCACAGCACTCGGTGAGCTTTTTTCGCAATTGATGAGAGAGTTATCCATTCTGCTCGTGCTTTCGGCAAGGTGTTTACGGTTTCATAACTTAGAAAATAATATTAACAATGCTGGTGGCTATTGAGTCATGCCAATGAAATCGATAAACATCTGTCCAGAACTTACTCATGGTTCAACCCTTAGATGGTATATATTTTAGTCCGCTCAGCTGGGCCTTACTAAAGGCCGAGGTATAAAAGATACCTGGGAGCCAGAAATCTTTCTGATTGAGAGGGGATCAAATACTTATTTCCCTCATTAAAATGCAAATCAATTCATAACATTTTTGACATGCGTTTTTCTGGATTTTGTTGTTATTCTGTCTCTCACTGTTCAAATAAACCTACCATTAAAATTATAGACTGATCATTTCTTTGTCAGTGGGCAAACGTACAAAATCAGCAGGGGATCAAATACTTTTTTTCCCTCACTATACATGTAATAAGAATACAAATAGAGTTAAATGCGTGGAGCTTTGTGGATAATGTGATGAGGAAACAGGGCGGGCATATTTTTTGCTCTGCAAAGAGCAGCTTATCTGCTAAGAGCTATGCTAACGTATGAGTTTGCAGGTTCCTGCAGATGATGTAAATTGGCTATTTAATGGAATTTCAAATGAGATTCTGTGTCTCGGAAGGATTGTCATGCCAAAGTTGGAAATAAAAGAGCTTTTTACCTGTGGCTTGTTGATGCTTTCCCATAGTATGCTCTAGGATCATTGGCTTATTCATTTTAGACAATGCAAGTGTTTGTCGTTGGCAAATGGTTGCCATTGATTGTCAAACACGGCATCTGATTTTCTTAGCGAACTGGCCAGTAATTATATTGTGGAGGCCACTGTAAAATTAGCTGTATCAAAACGTGTATCTATCCTACTAATTAAACAAAAACTGCAATAATTATTGATTCATCGATGCCCAAACAGAGTAGTCTTTAGCCACGATAGATGCGTGGGCTATAATCTCAACAACAACAACACTTGAATTGTGCCAATACACGTACGGCTCAATGCCGGAGTATATAAACTCCACGCTTTAATATAGCGTTCCCATGGATGTTGCGATGGGAAAATCGGAGTGCCTGTGGTTTGTCATTACTACTACTGCAGATATTGAATCGGTATCCACCAGGTGTATTGTCTCCTTGGGTAAAGGACTCGAAGGATAAAGCTGGGTTGGCATGGAAGCATATGGCGAAATGATTTTTTGGAATCACTTTGTATATAAACGCCAGAACCATTTCATTACGTTCAGACACAAACTACAATTATGGTGCATATCACATCTCATTAAATTTGCATCAAGTCCAGCGTATATATGACTGCAATGACGAAAATGACAACGTTTTAAGGTAACTCTTTACTTTATAATTAAACTTTATCTAATTGCATCTCGTTTGCAATGAAAGCAATGTGCACTCGATTAAATAAAGCAGTGCTTGAATACATTCGCTGTTTGGTCGTGTGGATCTGTGGACGTGCAGCATTCATTGCATCGGTGGTGATGTGTCCTAGCGACAGAGGTTCACAGTTCAACACCAACAATATCTGCTTCATGGTGTACGTGAGAGATCACGTGACGTCATTCATTTGCAACAGTTAGGCCATCGCGTGCCAGCGTTACGGTCCAATTTTGAAAAGTTATCTGGAAAAATTACTTAATTGGAATCTATACATCGCCTCATTGCCACCTTCTGCGAACACTTGGCAGGACCCTCCTGAAATCACAAGACTCTGCGAGCCTTTCCCGGATAAACAAGCGTAATAATATAATTAAGTAGATAATATACGTAGGCTTCCACAACCAATATTATGATTCATTGTTGGGTTAAGTAGTCGTGTAAACGTGCGTGTTGTAAACCCCCATCATGATTCAAGGGACACTTGGATTAATTGGCTGTCGGGTGGAGGAGGGTTTATGACACTCATTTTAATTAACCAACCGAACCAAATAATTAATATGTACATAAAAAATAACGAATTAATGCCCTCCACAACTCATCAGCTTCATATGGGCATAGTAGGTGTATAACAATTATACCCCCCCCACCCCACCTAACAACTCAATGAATTTTGGCTATTCAGGGCCACAGTTTCGGTCAAGAATTGATTATGTTCTCAACAACGTGGTGACCAAAGCGGTCCCCAAGCTCTGGAGGCATCACATTAACCCATTACATACATCAGATATGGAGAGGAAAATAACTATTTTTCCACGTGAGATTTGATGTATTGCCATGAGCATAAGAATCACTATTCATTGTGCAATCGATGCGTTTTCAAAGACTTTGATTATACCATAGGAGGATAGTTTGTTTTAACAGGTAAGGCCACCGAGTTATGTAGCTATTTTTCAGAAGCGACCTGGCCACAAATGATAGCTCAACGAAGTGGCTTATCAAGTGTACATTTATAGCAGCCAAATACTCTAAACGCGTGTTTCTAAATGTGGAGGGAAAAACCGGAGGACCCGGAAAAAAATCCACGTGACCACGGGGAGAGAGAACACGCAAAATTACAAATTCGCAGGTGTCAGGGTCAGGATGAAACCCACAACCTCCTGCATACCAGGCGAGGGAGTTAACATCTCGCCACCGCGAGATATGGAGTGAGAGCTGAGCTAATGTTAACGCTCTTCAACATTCATCCGGTGAGGCTGAAGTAGCAAATCAATTCGCATATTTTCCCATCACGTGACAACCTGGTTTGGATTGGCTTCATCTGGTGGTGGAGGGTTACAGTAAAAAAGAAACATTGACATCATACTTCCACGACATAACCCAAAATAAACTAATTATGGATCATATATGGAGCAATACAATAACTTAATGCAATGGATCTTACACGTCCGATTAACACGGTTGGCTATGTACAATGCGAAATAAGTTCAACATACAGTACATTCATACATACAGGGGAGAAGAGGGGGAAGCTTTTGCATTTCTCATTGCAGCACCAAATTGGCATGCGTCCAACACGTTTGTTTGAATACTAAATCATGGGCAGATAGTGTATTGCACTTTTTAAAAATAAAATTTCTTAAAACTTGACAAATATTGTTTGGAAATAACACACCAGAATAGAACGACATTGTAATATAGCACGCGCGTAATTTACCGTGATCACCGCGTTACAATACAACACGTCTGTATTGGTGCTTGTTAAATGGAAATTGCCAATGTGTGCTAGCAATGGCGTTCAAAACACACAAAGGTCAAACAAAGGTTACGTAAGGATGCGTGCATACCTTTTCAATCATACGAACTGCGATGGGTCCCTGGCCTTGGCCCAGAGATATCGTTTCGATGTTGGAGCCTCCCATACCTGCAAGGGCATGCAACTGGCAAGTGATCGATCATTTTAATAACGTCAAGTGTACAAACTATGGTTTGTTACTCCTATTAGAATTCACCTGCCTATTTGTATGCTCCTTCAATTAAGGATGTAAAATTAAATGTGTTATTTTGAATTCTAGCCAAATGTGGGTCGGTGTGTGGGTCGGTCTGGTAAGTAGGTGGGTGCGTGGGTTTGGTTAGTGGGCAGCCTTATATTGAATGTGGCAAAAGCAATTTGAGAAAAAAAACTGCCCCACTTAAAGTTGGAAGCTTTGTGGAAATACAAGTTTAAATATTTCTGCAAGTGTACACATGGCATAGTCAGTAAAAAAACTGATCAATTAGCAATAAGTACACGTGGTATATGGGCACAAAAAAGTATCAATTAAAATGCCTTTCAATCTTCGTGCAGATATTGTGCGTGGTTACAAATTAGCGGCATTGTATTTTTAACAAGACGAGTTTCTGACTTAAACATAAAATTATAGATAATAATAATATGGTCGTGGTCTATCAAGACACTACTTGGGGAAAAAAACTGCTATTATATAAAGCCCAGCTGTGTTCAGTTGGTATTTAATATGGCAGGAGAAAACGCCTCTAGTTGCCTTTGCTTTCTAAAATTGCTTATGGCCAAGACAATTTCAGTATAATGTCCATCCAGCAGTATAAATGGGTTCACCATATTTTTTTTACGTTCGATCAGCAGGTCAAAGGTCTGGTCAGTGTGGAAGAGTAGACCAAAGTACCCTTTCGAGAGGCCCTTCCGCCAGCAGTGACATGAGCAAACAATTGCCTTGCTGCACCTTCACCCAATGCGTTAGCAGTTGCCGGTAAATATATATGAGACATCAAAAGCATTTCTGTTATATATTTTCAGGGTCTCTAACAGTATTGCACTACGTCTAACCCCTGCTGTCAATAGCATCCTCAATTGTAGTTTAATGTATCCTCCCTACGCTTTGAAGCTCAGAGCCCAGGTGGGATGCACCGTTTGAGGCAGCGGAACAAAATTGTTTGAGCGAGGCAGGCATCGCGAGGAGGGTGGAGAGGCGGGGTCGTATTACACCGCACACCGCCTCCCCTCCACACTCTGCATGCTGGCCTCATCGCTACAGGTCCCGTCCGTCGCACGAACATTACAGCGCTCCCATAGTCTCCACAAGGTTGGTCATTATTTGTGCATTGCCCATGAGTCCTTCATGTTCATGGAGGAAGTGGACACACTAAGCTATAGGCTCATCTGTATTCAGGCACTGGTAAGAGAATCACTGTATGTGTGCGAACACCCCCTCGAACTGATGGGAATGGCTATTAACTGACAAAACTTTAGCGGGAACATATTACCACAAATTCCTGTGCACAATGCTGCCACCGTGTAGTGATCAGCGCAATGGGCCTTTCAACCCACGGGTTCAATTCCGTCTCCCAGTGAGGCAGTTGAAATAATGGAGCAAGTTTCTTGAATCCCTCCACCACCCCTGTCCACCCAGCGGTGTAGCTGGGTGTGCCAAAGGCGACCGGCGTGTAGACGGGCACGGTGTGGGTGGTGCCACATCTTCCACACCTGGCCAGTGTGGAAGGGCTGCCCAAGATGCCTTCTAGAAGGGCTCCATGCAGCTCCTTCTGGTGGTGGCCCTTCCGCCAAGCGGTAGCGTTGGAAAGTAATCGCAGGGATGCAACGTTATCATTTTCGTCTATATTGCTTTGTATTTGGCATGTAAGAGCGCTAAAACTGCCCAGCAGCGGCGCTGCCCCGGTCACAACTCCCACCCCCCCCCCCCCCTCCGTGTGCGTGCTCTGTGAGCGTGCTCCGTGAGCGTGCGAGACCTCGCTCGTCAGCAAAGTGCATGAGCAGCGCCATCGGATCGGCGCCGGGTGAGAGCACGAAGACGAGCGGGGTGACGCGACTCGAGTCCCTGAAGCTGTGGGCCAGGTCGAAGGGCGGTGGCTCGATGTACCGCTCGCCCATCTCCTCAGCGATGTACTGCTGCACGGCCGGGATCACCTGCATGGCACGCGTTTTTAACTTGACGTGCCGTTTGTTGTTGTTGTTGTCGTTCTCTCTCTCAATTCTTATTCCAATTGTGCGATGGGTTTCGTGTCGAGAGACAAAGAGGTGCCCATTTGGAAATATCGCAGCTTAGCAGTGCACCACCCCTGTGTCGGAGATGAGAACACAACTTCTGGAGGGTTGATGTCAGAAACACAGGGTGGTCCGTTTGTAGATACCTCACTATTTGCAGGGATGCACCCGATGCACAAATGGAAACTTTAAAACTCTCCAGCAATGCGCGACTGTCAGGGCCGTATTATCCAATAGGCCATAGGAGGCAATGTGCCTAGGGCCTACGGAAACTAAAAGGACCTACGAAAAAAAATGACCTTGCATTTTGTTTTGTTTGTATGTATGATAAAAATATGTGACCAAGATATCTTCTTGAATAAATATATTCATATGGCTGCTTGTTGCAAATTTCTTTGCAGCGGTAACAAGTCGCTGACTCGCTGTTCGTGAGGCATATTATACTTAAAATAACAGTCGAACAACTTTTTAAGCTTAAACGAAAGTAAAGCAACATGGTGCTCTCAATGCAGTCATCCTGTCAGACCATTGAATTTGTCATCAATGAAAATGAATGGCATCCTTTTAAAGCTACATCATCCAATATGATAATCACAGCAAAACATAGTTGGAGGAATGTTCTCTTATAGCTATTTTTAGGCTTACCTCGTTTTTGTTTTCAATAACTTCGAATTAAATCTGCCTATCCGTGGCACATTGCGCGCTCCCATCGAATTATGGCGCAGACTGAATAATGCACGTGTCAGTAACGACATCTGTCCAGTGGCTGGATGAAGTAAGCGTGAAACAAGCAGAGTTAGAGCGGCAGTAGTAGTATCACGGGGCAGCAGCAGTACCAACTGTAGAAACCTATCACTAAAGGCCTACGAAACAGAAGTGCCTAGGCCCTACAAGAACCTTAATCCGGCCCTGGCGACTGTGGTCATCCAGAACAGGCCGTACAACAAACACGAAGGGGACATCACAACAACACACTACTCTGCTACTCCTGACACGGTTCTCTGGCTTGACCACCTGAATGTGAAATTGTAGCTGTTGCTCTGCGTCTACATACGAAAGAAGATACAGGGGAAATTCTGAGAGAAAACTATATTTCATTTCAAAGTCTCCCACCAATCTCAACACAATTATTATATCTTTTCACACGCTCCTCTGTAAAATATGGAGCCATCGCTTGCACAATATTCCATCACTTTTTGGGTGAAAAAAATGAATAGGGTTAAATGAAATGTGGGGCAGCTGTAAATGCATCACACTTTACGACTGAAGTCACTTCAATAGCTTTCTTTATTCGCACTGGGGGCTCATCTGGGAAGAATGTTCAATGTCAATCAGACCAACATTATTAATTCTCAGAGCTGGAACGATTCAAAAGTTATTTCTCAATCAATTTTGGCGTGAGGTGCTAAGTTATGCAGTAATTGGTGATCAGTCTGAGTTCTTGAATTGTCTGTAATTGAGAAGTTGGTTCAATCAAGCATAGTGACTTGAATTTGAGTCCAGGCTGTCAGAAGAGTGGCTCCGTGCTCTAACAAAATAATCAGACCCCTGAGCCAGCAGACCCCGAGGTGGCTGACATCGACATCAGGTCTACTTATCAGTTCGAAATAAATTAGCTTATGCTCTAGATGTAAAAGTGCATAGCTCCAGTTGCTTCCTAATATCGGAAAGCAAGAGCATTCCAGACGGCCGCGGACGCGCATCTAAAAGCGAGCAATGCAGCGGCCGTCTTTGTTTCGATGGCCAGCCAAAAGCCGCTGCGAGGAAGAAAGGGTCATGTCATTGACTCAGTAATATAATGTGCTTTGAAGAAGGGCAGTTGCCAGAAACATCACCTATTATATACTTTCCTCTTAAAGGCAGTGTTATTGACGAGTTTTTGTTTGTTTTGTTGTTATTTGCGCTTGTGCACCAATGCCAATGCAACACCACCAAATAATGCGTGTTATATTTAGGCTAATTCAGCAACAATAACAAAAACAACTACGCAAACGAGACTGGAACATGATCAACAATATAAAACAAAGGGTAAAATCGAGACGAATAAATATATTGAGTCTTGAATCACAGCACGACTCTTCAACTTTATCATTGAATTAATCAATGTTGCTTATGCCGGGGAAGGGTGCACAAGGTTACACCCCTGCACTTTGCCATAAAGCTATTACAACTAAATTATGAAACTTTTAATTTTACCAAGTGAGGCCCACTGAGCTACACAGATAGTGTTCAGAAGCGACCTGGCCATAAATGATCGCCCAATTAATTAGCCTATCACGTGGAAATTAATAGCAGCCAAATACTCTGAACGCATGTTTCTAAATGTGGAGGGAAAACCCGGAGGAGGGCCTGGAAAAAAAATCCACGTTATCCCGGGAAGAACACGCAAACTCCAAATATACAGCAGGCGTCAGGATCGGGATCGAACCCACAACCTCCTGTATACCAGGTGAGGTAGTTAACATCTCACCACCGTCACACCCCCACATTGCTCAACCAGGATGATTGCTGTTGGCTGTGTGACTGTAGACAAATGTCCATTGCGTTTGATCACCGTGCCTTGTCTGGTCGGATGCAGCGGAGGATGAGGAGCCGTTGGAAGCGAGTCAGACGCGAGCCCCAGGGCTCTGGTAGGTGGGCCTCATGGGGGGTAGGCGAGTTGGTAATGGCCTTCCACTCATCCAGCTGCACCGGCAGAGGAAGGAAAGCACGCCACACACACAAAGCAGCGGCAGTTGTAAATAGCCTTACATTCATCCAGCTACACCAGTAGAAGAAGCAATGCCTGCCAGAATTTGTCATCATTGCTTCATCAGTTTTATATATATACTTGTATATAATTCACTGGTTCGTAAATGCCAGCCCTGGCGATTGTATGCCTTCTGCCTCTTCAAACAACAAGCCCTCCGTCGAAGAAATAAATGTCAGCATTCAAGGTTGGGCAAAAATGTTCGTTTCAATGTAAAATGAATGTGCATTGGATGCGATCGTTGATTGAAATGTATGCACATCTGAACAACAGGGTAAAAAGACTTGTTTTGGACAACTGTTAATAAATTATAGTATATGTTGAGCAATAGGTCTTAATCATGACCAGCCGTATCAGGAACAGCTGATACGGGTGGTCATTAAAGTTTAAACTTTAATTAACAAAATATAGTTAATTAAACTTCAGTTACTTTACACAATGAATTAAGGTTGGGTTAATGACATATCCCTTATTGCTGCTCAACATTTGCGACCCACTGTTACATGTCCATTACACGTTTTTTTTTAGTTAAGTAACACAATGTGCTCGCTAAACATTCTCTGAAAGTTTATCAGGCAACCATATACAAATATTGCTTCAAGATTTATAGTTCTCATTAATAATTTTATTATTATTGATTGTTCACCCAGGAAAGCCTCGCCAAGGTCTTAAGACACCTTGCTCAGGAGGATCCTGCCACGTGTTCACAGTAGGGGGGAGATGCTACTGTGTGTAACCCGAATTGAGTAATTTTCAGGTGATTATTTAGCCTTGGTATATTCGCCAATTACCAGCAGCTAAACCCATAGGCCAGAAGCTACATAGTCAATATAATACGTTGAAAAAATGTTATTCATTGGCCCTGATGAATTACAATACATTTTAATCATGAATGCATTACTTTAAAATAAACTGTGAATATGATTGTTTGTTCCCCGTGATGTCGTGGTACCTACTGAAGGAGGCCTGATCAGCTGGCATGGTTCATCTAAATTCCACAGTTTTCATTGTGAGGTCTAGATGTTTTTCCCCTGATGGTGTACAGTGTATTTCCGAACAAAATGTCATGACTTTTGCTATATTTGGTTGTGATGAGCTGAAACAATAATTGGTCCGTGAAAACGCATGTACGCCTTACAACTTCATTTGTATTGGCTGTGTGCGATAGTGGAGGGTTTCACAACATATATTTGGTCACATCATTACATGGCCAAACCAAAAACACAATTATGAATCACCATATTCTTGGTTCTTTCGGTAAAGTCACGTAGAAGGGAAATAATAAAATAAAAAAATAAAACCAAGAACATGAATCCCTGCAGTCACGAAAGCTTTAAATCAATATGAATCACTATTTGCATTGTTTTTTTTTAGCTATTGGGAGGAAATCTGAGACCCCAGAGGAAACCCATGCAGAAGAGGGGGAGAACATATACACCCCTAGACAGAGCGGCACCCCGGTTGGAAATCGAACCTAGGCCCTTCTTGTCGTGAGGAACAAATGTTACCAACGTGCCACCCTGTCGCCCCAAATCACCTTCATGGTTACCATGCCCATGAATGACTCTACACTGAAGCATACACACGATGCAATTATCTTGACTTTAGCCGGGAAAGGCATTGTTAATTCAGAGTGGTCTATGCAGCACATTGAAGCTAATGTATGCTGTTAGACCTTATTTGACACCGTACGTAGCCAACTTTGTTTCGATTGCTGTAAACCGCGTACATTGTGCACATCAAGCAGGAGAACAACACTACAAGACTGTTGAAACTGGAATGGAATCAAGTTAGTTCCATCTCAGACACTTTAATTAGTCGCAGCAGGTGAACACCTATACTACCGTAGGTTCCAGAGGCAGTACAAGATTGTATATATATACAGCATATACACTTTTACGAGTATCACACAACATGTTGTGTAGGCACAGGAATAAATCCAGGGTACGCTAAATTAAGCATAGTTTTAACAACTTATATGCATTTCGATTTAAAGCTTTCGTGACTGCAAGGATTCATCTTCTTTGGTTCATTCGGTAAAGTCACGTGACTTTACAAAAGGAACCAAAGAATAACTTATATGCAATGTAAGTAAAATATATATTTGTTGAAGTATATTCATGTTCAAACAAACACTGCAGTAGTGCCCATCTCCATTGGTGGGCCTGAGCCAGTGGTGTAAACTACATTACGATGGCAGGGCTTCGTACAAGTGACCACGACTTTGAACGGGAGTTGTTGGAGGGGGGGGGGGGGGAGCTGTTTAGCATTGGGGGTTTGTGTTTGGACTTGAACACAGAGCAGACATCGGCAGGACGGATGGCCAGGGAGACAGAACTCCAGATGGTGCGGGCAGCAGAAAAGACAAACCGATTTAATATGTCTACGTCTGCCAATATACCCCATTCATATGTAAATGATAAAATACATGAAGCGTGCAATTAAGAGTCTGGGTAGCCGAGTAGCCTTGGCGTGCTCGTACTGAGGTGGTAAATTGCAATGGTTTAGACATTTCAACGCCATCGACAACACCTGCAATGCTGCAGCGCAGTCTTTCCCAACTCCAGTCTCCACGGAGCCCACAGTCCGCCTCTCCATAATTACCTCTCTTTTCTATTCAGAGGTGAATTAAGCCACTGCACACTGCATGCACGTGATGCTTGGTAATCAAGGGAAGCTGCAGAGTGGAGGAGGGTATGAGGATTGGAAGTAGAAATGCTGCTATATAGGGCATTATCTCAGCACTTTGTCTATATCTAGTGAGTGGCTAAGACCCTGAGGATATATTTCAAGGCAAAAACCATCGTATATCATGTGATGTTTGAATTTTTTTAAAATTGGAAAGTTTGTGAAATTGCTACGTGGACAAACTTTGCATGGGCGGGGGGGGGGGTTAAACATGCAGATGAGTGGATAAAGTGACCCCTCTGTTCCACTGTTTAATTAGAATCGATGTTATATTTTGTATCACAAATGTACTTGATAAAATGTCCCAACTATAGCTATCTGGTCTCATTCGAATACAGTCAGTATAATAGTATAACCTCTATATACTATGCAGGCACATATCTGGTGTACAATATAGATGATATTCTAAGTTCTAAAACAAACATCGTGATTTTAAATGGACATAAATTGACTTTGTCATAAAAGTAAAAACATATTTTATGAAGTTCTGCGCTCGATCGGCTATCGTGAATGTTCAAATAAACTTGTGCCTTTGAGGCTAAAACGGAGTTCTAAAATAGAGTAAAACGCTTTCATCTCATGTACCTTGACATCAATTACATTTAAAATATACAGGGTGTTTAAAAAAAATGTCCCCGATTTGAAATCGCTATACTGTATCTCTGCAACCACGAACCGCCCATGAATGAAACTCTTACCACTTGAAAGGGCAGGGCATAGAGAGGGCGGGGCATAGAGAGGGCGGGGCAGAGGGCGGGGCATAGAGTTTCAAATGATTACCGCTAGATGCCTCTCTCAGCGCACAAACAGCCCCCTAGCCTCAGTCATTCGCAGGACAACGCTGCCTCAACGCTGGATAGGTCGCACGGGACCCCAAGACTTGGCGCTACACTCTTGGCCCCCAAGATTCCCAGACATAACCACACCCTGCAACTTTTTCTTGTGGGGACACGTCAAAGACCCGTGGTGTTTTAGTGCCACCATTAGCGACTAATCTGGATGACCTCAAAAACAGAATCACGTCAGCGGTGACTTCAGTGGAAGAAGACACTTTGAGAGGCGTTTGGGACGAATTCAACTATCGTCTCGATGTTGTCTGTACAGCAGGTGGAGGACTCATAGAGCATTTATAAAATGGTTAGTAAAACTTAATAACTCATTAAACCGTTTGTAACTTTTTGTGTAATTGTAACATGTTGCCATCGTGAAATATACTGCTTTGAAATTGCATCTATCTATTTCAAACATACCTGTATTTTATATTCTTAGTTTTTTCGGTAAAGTCACGTTGAAGAGAAACAACAAAATAACAAAATATATATAAAACAATAAAAAATTCTCACGACGTTTCGACCATAACTCAAACGGTCATCATCAGGTGTGTCGGTTTGCATAAATTTATTTTGAAAACGGCATATTTATTTATATATATAAAAATAACGTTTGCGTCACGCGCAACGATGGCAGTTTGCCAGGACTAGTCCATCTATTTTTTGAAAAGAGGAGGGGGGAGACGAAATTTGTTTTTATGTATGCTGTCTGAAAGGCACTGTAAGCGTGAACAATCAATCAAGAACTGAAATGATTTATCAAATCTTTCCAATGATTGCTAAGATAGAATCCATCTTCTCGGTTGAAATTGTCTCTGTGTTTGTATATGTGGATAGCCTCATGAACGAATCTCTCATGGAAGCCAGATGGCTTACAAAGAACCTCCGTCTTGGAAAAGTCAATGGCATGTGAGCCTACTGAATTAGAACAATGATCTGCTACGGCCGAGGTGTTGGTCCTACCGTGTTTAAGGTCTGCTTTATGTTCACGAATGCGGTCCGAGATATGGCGTTTGGTTTCTCCAATGTAACTACTACCACAGAGGCAACTTAGTTTGTAGACACCAGGGTATTGTATGTCCGGAATCACATCTTTTACAGACGGAACCAGATCACGGATTTTATGTAATGTGTTGAAACGGACCTGGATCTTGTGTTTATTCAAGATTTTGGAGATCTTTTTTGTGATCCCAGCAATGTAGGGTAAAGTGATGGTTTTGAAAGGCTCCTCAAGAGGGTTGAGACTGACGCCATCCAGACTGCCACTCTGCGCCCAACCTTATGGAAGAGGTACGTGGATGACACTTTTGTCATCTGGCCACATGGCCGGCCTGCTCTAGACAAATTCTTCGACCACATCAATTCCATACACCCAGCCATCAGATTTACCATGGAAGTCGAAATAGATGGCAAGATAC